ACTTGGGAGGCAGAGGTAGGCAGATCTCTGTGAGTTCAAGGCCAGCCTGGTATACATAGTGAGTTCCAGGACAGCTGGGGCTACAGGGAGACCCTGTCTCAAAAAGACCAATAATAATAATAATAATAATAATAATAATAATAATAAATGAAATATTTTTTTAAGTTAATAGGTTTTTTGGGTTTGGTTTTTTTTTTTGGTTTTTTTAAAAAATATTTTTGTGCGTGTGTGCATGTACACAGGCCTGAGAAAGCCAGAAGAGGGCATTGGAGCCCAGGAAGCTGGAGTTACAGATGATTGTGTGCTGGGAACTAGACTTGGATCCCATGGAAGAGCAAGAAGTGCTTTTAACCCCTTAGCCATCTCTCCAGCCCCAAGACTTAATAGTTTTTCCAGTGACATTAAAATATATATTTTTTAAATGCTCAGAATTCTTGCTTTATAGGAAGATATAGAAAAGTGTATCAAGAGGATATCAATTCCCATTTCCTCTGTGAATACCAAGGGATATTTTGAGAGGTGTTATCACAAGGTGATTCATTTTTCATTTCCCTGAAAAGCTTTTCGTTTTTTGAGACAGGGTCTCACTGTACAGTCCTGGCTGGCCTGAAACTTGCTATGTAGACCAGGCTGGCCTCAAACTCACAGAAATCTGCCTGCCCTCTGTCTCCTGAGTGCTGGGGTTAAAGGTCTGCCCATTTAGTCATCTTAATAAATGATTTTATATATGGTAATTTTTTATGAACTGTTGGAGCTATTCTTTTGGTAGAATTGTTATGGTCCTGCCTTTCTTTACATTTAATTTTTTCATTTATTGATTGATTGATTGATTGATTGAGTGGTCATACTTATGCTACTGAGTATGTGTGGAGGTCAGTAGTCTTCCACCATGTGGGAAGGACCCAGAGATCAAACTTAGGTTGTAAGGGTTGATGGTAAGAACTCTTTACCTGCTGAGCCATCTCATCATCCCTCATTACATTTTAAAAAATATATTTTATTTATTATTTTAATTTTATGTGTATGAGTGTTACGACTGCATGTAGATAAGTGCACCCATGTCATGCAATGCCCACAAAGGACAGAAGAAGCTGTCAGATCCCCTGGAACTGGAGTTAACAGACAGTTGTTAGCCGCCATGTGGGTGCTGGGATTCGAAACCGGGTCTTCTGCAAAAACAGTGTTCTTAATCACTGAGCCATCACTCCAGCCCCCTCATTACATTTTATTTCTAATATTTTAAAAATATTTTGATATATATATAATTGATTTTCAAAATACTTAACAAATAATAATTACTCCATCAAACAGACTAAGCAACATTTGTTTCTTTTCTTTTTAATATTTTATTATTTTTATTTTACGTGTATGAGTGTGTTGCCTGCACGTATGTGAGTGCACCCGTGTTGTGCAATGTCGTGGAGGTCAGAAGAGGGCTTTGGACTTCCCCTGGAACTGGAGTTAAGGACGGTTCATAGCTACCATGTGGGTGCTGGGATTCAAACCCGGGTCCTCTGCAGGAGCAGTCAGTGCTCTTAACCTCTGAGCCATCTCTCCAGCCCCAGAAATGCCATTTATCTTATAGGGAAAATGATGGCTGTCTTAGTTTGTTTCTTCATTGCTGTGATGAAACACTCTGACCAGTACCAACTAGGGGAGGAAAGGGTTTATTTTTCTTACATCTCCCAGGTCGCATGCAGTTCATCGGGGAGCCCAAGGTAGGAACTCAGGGCAGGAACCTGGAAGCAGGAGCTGGAGCACAGCCTGTGGAGGAATGCTGCTTACAGGCTTGCTTCCTTGGCCCCTGCTCAGCCTGCTTTCTTATGCAACACAGGCCCACCTACCCAGGGGTGGCACCACCCACAATGGGCTGGGCCCTCCCACATCACTCATCAAGAAGATGCCCTTCAGACATAGTCCAATAGAGGAAATTCCCTGATTGAGGGAACCCAGGTGTGTCAAGTTGACACTAAAGCTATCTAGCACAATGGCAAACAAATTTTTTTGTCAGCCTGATGGCTATCTTAAAATGTTGTTTACTTTTCTAGCAACAACCTTTGCGGCCCAATTTGGTGGAAACTAGTTGTCCCAATATACGGATGGATCCAAAACTATGCCCCGCTGATCCGGACTGGATAGCTTTTATTCATAGCAATGACATCTGGATAGCCAACATTGTAACCAGAGAAGAGCGGAGGCTCACCTATGTGCACAACGGTAAGGACTTCCCCAGACCTGTAAAGTTGAATTTGCTTTTGCTTTCATTTTGAAATTTAAACATGCTAGGCAGTGTTTATGTTTTAAATTTAGGTGTTTGAATTTTTTAAATGTGGAAAAGTACAAAGGACAAGTTGAGTTCTCCTTGGGTAATGCAGCCTGTTCTAGAGCATTCTTTAGCAGCACCGTGGTAGCACCTCTGGCATGACTGTTCTTTTAGCATATAGAGGCTACCTCAATTTCCCTGAATTTGTTCTCAAAAGTTTAGTCAAGAAAATTAGCCTTGTTTTGGTGACACAAACAGAAAAACCAGCTGTACATTATCAAAAATTGCCTGCAAGATGACTTTCCCCTTGCCGAGATCTTGCTTAGTTATTGTCATGATAGGAAAAACAAAACGTTGAAGAAGGATGTATATGTGGAAATGTTTAACTAGGTGTCATTGCAGTGGCTGCCATGTTGAACATTACTCAGAGCACAAAGGAAGTAGGTGTTTTCCTTTAGAGACTTCCGACAAATGATACAAATGAGCCAGGCATGGGCACACGTCTTTCCCCAGCATTCATGAGATGAAAACAAGGAGAGTTCTAGGCTAGCCTGGGCTACATAGCAAGACTTTGTCTCAAAAACAAAATATTCTCACAAAAGGAATAGAATATAGTATGTTACTTTTTCTTTGAAACTATGAAATAAAAAACTCCACAATGAAAGATGAGGCTTAAAATTCAGTTGTCCAACTTTGCTTAACCTGATGTTCACAAGGCTGATTTACTGTTTTTTCTTAATCATTCCCTCATCATCATTAACAATTAGTTACATTGTAACAATTAGTTACATTCTTTGACATATGTAATAGATATATTGTTGTAAGAAAATAAAATGAACAACAAAAAAAAAAGAAAATGAAATGACTCAGTGGTAAAGGGCACTGACTGCTCTTGTAGAGGACCCATCTTCTGTTCCCAGTACCCATATGGAAGTCAGCAACTGTCCTAACTCCCTTTTGGTTCCAAAGGGTTCATTCAATGCTCTCTTCTGTCCTTCATGGGCACTATATGCATGGTTGTACGTACACATGAGCAAAACACTCATACATACAAAATAAAAATAAATCAAAAAAAAAGAGAAGAAAATGACACAGATTTTGTTGTTGGGTTTTTAATTTTTTAAAAAATATTTTATTTTTTGTCTTTTTGAAGCAGGGTCTCCCTGTAGCCCCAGCTGTCCTGGAACTCACTATGTAGACCAGGCTGGCCTCAAACTCACAGAGCTCTGCCTGCCTCTGCCTCCCAAGTGCTGGGACTACAGGTGTGCACCACCACACCCGGCTTATTTTTATTTTTTTAATATTATTTTTATTATGTGTATTGCTTGCATGTAGATAGGTATACCCGTATCATGGAATGCCCTTGGAGGTCAACAAAGGGTGTTGGGTCCCCTGGAACTGCAATTACAGGTGGTTGTTAGCCTCCATGTGGGTGCTAGGAACCAAACCTGGGCCCTCTGCAAGAGCAGCCAGTGCTCTTAACCACTGAGTCATTTCTCCAGCCCCTATTTTTATTTTTTATGATAGTATGAGCATATTGCCTGCATGTAAGTGCACCCATGTCGTACAATGCTCACAGAGGTCAGAAGAGGACATTGTATCCCCTGGAACTGGAGTTATGGACAGTTGTTAACCACCATGTGGGTGCTGGGAACCAAATTTGGGTCCTCTACAAGAGCAGCCAGTGCTCTTAACCACTGAGCTATCTCTCTAGCCCCAGCTTTTAATGTTTTTGAAGAATAGATCAGTTTGCCATAGTAGGTAAGGAAAGTTAGCTGGGGGCTGGAGAGATGGCTCAGTGGTTAAGAACACTGGTTGTTCTTACAGAAGACCTGGGTTCGAATCCCAGCACCCACATGGCAGCTAACAACTGTCCATAACTCCAGTCCTGGGGGATCTGACGGCCTCTTCTGACCTCCGAGGGCTTGCATGACATGGGTGCACTTACCTACATGCAGGCAATACATGCATACACATAAAATAAAAATAATAAATAAAATTAAAAAAAAAAAAAAGAAAAGTTACCTGGACAAGGGTTTTTTTGCAAGGTTAGTTTCAGTTTTTTTAGCAATGGTGATTGAACCCAAGGCTTTGCATGTGCTAAGCAAGTACTTTACTGCTAAGCTACAACCCCAGCCCTTGCTGGTCAAGGTTAAATTTACTAAAAGATGAATTTAACAGTATATTGATGGCAAATACTTTTTTTTTTTTTTTTAATTTTTTTGAGACAGGGTCTCCCTGTAGCCCCAGCTGTCCTGGAACTCACTATGTAGACCAGGCTGGCCTTGAACTCACAGAGATCTGCCCGCCTCTGCCTCCTGAGTGCTGGGATTAAAGGCATGTGCCACAACTCCTGGCTCAAATATTTTTTTATTATGAAGATCACTATTATTTTTGAAGCCTTTACCTGAATAATTAACTTAATAGAAAGAGCACTGAATTAAGAATTGATTTTTCTCTCCTAATTATTTAATCAGTCAACAAAAATCCATTAAGTTCTGTTGTGGCTAGCCATGTGACAATCAAAATCTCTGAGTTCTTCATCCAGACATTCAACCAACTACATCTCAAAAATATGTGGAAAAAAATTCCAGAAAGTAGTCTGGGATGGTGACAAATGCAGGCTGAGGCACGAGAAACACAAATTCAGTGCTACCTAAAAAAAAAAAAAATCCAGAAAGTTCCAAAAGTCAGAATTTGAATTTGTCATGCATTGAGTTCTGCACTGATTCCACATGAAAGAAGTAAGGTATGGAAAGGAACACCTGTCTATAACTTCCCAGTTCCAGGTCCTCAGTCTCTCCAGCACTGATGCATCATTCACCTCACATCTCATTCCTGTTATATGCATTGGGGCCTGTAATAGCTGTGTTTGTATTGAACATACACAGAGATTTTTTTGTTGTTATTTGTCATCCCCCAAACAATGTAGCACAACTATATAGCATTTACATGGCATTTACCTTATTTGTAGTATTTTCAGTAATCTCGTGATGAAAGTCTTAATGAAGTTTCTTGTGGGTTCTGTGGAAACACTATGACATTTTATGGAAGGGACCTAAGTATTTGCAGATTTTGGTATCTGAGTAGGTTCCTAACAGAACTACCACTCAGGAGGTACTAAAGGACAACTCTACTAAGGATACAGATTGAGTGAGACAATCCTACTCCTCAAGGAAATTAAATAAACTAATAACAGTTAAACAGATTAAGTCTTATGTGGAGTATTAAAAGAGTAAACTTGTAAGTGTTCAAGTTTTGAATATCTCTACTATAAAGTATGAGTTTGCACCACACATACACTAAAAAAGAGTACCCAGAGAGACAATAGTCAGGGAAGAGTTCCCAGAGAAGATGAACCTAAACTGACCTTAAATGATGTCCGTAGATTAGCCAGTACATTCCAAACAAGGGAACTGTGTGGGAAAGGTCTGGGTAAAAAAGATGTTGTGGTCTGTGTGAAGAGTTAAAAGCAATGTGACTGTCCAAAAACAAAAGATACGTGTTGTCGGAGGCCAGCGTAGCTGCACGTCACATGACTGAATATAGGCTTTCTCCTGATAGAGTCAACTGAGGAGTCTTCAGCAGTTGGGGATGGAGGGGAGGATGTGGTATAGTTATACTGAGCATAAATTGTTGTGGATACTAGACACCAGGATATCAGAGCTTGGCTGCCATTACTGGAGGTCTATGGCATAGATCTTGTTCTCTGAAGCTAGAGGACAGGGTAGAAGGAAGGAGTGGAGTAGGAAAAAAAATTTTTTAAAGTACACATTCTGATGTTTAATGGGTCTCCTTTAATGCCAGGAAGTCAGAAGATTGACCACTGATAGCAGAGGTGCTAGGTTGGCTTGTTAATATGTCTGTGTTGAAAATTGCAGCACTTGTCATGCTTTCAATAAACATTGAATACTATATACCAGTTATTGTATTTGAAGTTGACATAACTGTTGGAAATAAGGCATTTTTAAGGCTTCTTTTTTCTTTTGTAAAATTATTTTCCTCTGAGAATTTATGAAGATTGGCAGAATTGAAAGTAGAAAACACTGGAATCCTGGAGAATGTTACAGTTTTTTTATTCTTTTTACTATGCATGTAGGTATGTGGTATATTTATTATTTCTAGCATCATTGTAGTAGTTAAGAGCTGTGGCAGAGCCAGGTATGGTGACGCACACCTTTAATCCCAACACTTGGGAGACAAAGGCAGGCATATATCTATGAGTTCAAGGCCAGCCTTGTCTACGAAGTGAGTTTCAGGCCAGCTGGGGCTACAGGGAGACCCTGTCTCAAAAAGAACAGAAAAGGAAGAAAAAAAAATAAAGAACTGTGGCAGAGAATATAGAATAGTATAGACTCATACAACTGGGCTTGAGTGCTAGATCTAACATTTATTAGCTCTGACCTCATTTAACTTATCTCTTTGTTTCTGCATCTATAAAATGCTAATTAATTGCATCAACACAGGATTGTCAGGAGGCTTTGAGTTACCATCTATGAAGTGTTTAGGACAGTGCTTAAAACAGTAAGTATCATGGAATTGTTTGTTCAGATAGAAATGTAAGGAGGGAGGGAGCATCGTGAGCCCAGTGTTTTAGTCACAGTAAGTTTCAGGTGAAATCCTACTTTAGAGAGCTTAATCAGCTAGGATGTACATGTGTTTAATCTTTGCTTAATATGATTCAGGAATTTAAAAGTAATTAGCTTCTACTCCCAGGTGACTCCCTCTTAGAGAGACAAGGTGACACCATTTATCCAGTTAAAAGTAACTCATAACAACAGGTGTGTGGTCAGAGGTACCTGTCCTTATATCTTAAGGAGAACAAAGTATAAGATAAAGTTGGAGGTATAGAGTAGTTGAAAGGGCCAAGACCCAGCATTGGTCTTGGCTCTGTTATTAATTACACATTTCTAAAAGCTCTGAACACATAGTTTTCAAAAGCTTGGTGCTAAATCTCATTTAATAGCAAAACCTGACCTGAATTGGCCTGGGGTATTTATAATCTCCCCGCTTAATGTGTCTTCCCTTAAATTTGCAGCACGAATGTTGGGCTCTTGGATTGTAGCTTATCTGGTTGCCCTACTGGGGAGGTTACGTAATACATTGTAGAGGTACACTGTGTAAAAAGTCTCCATGTTCTAAGTTCCAAAAACTTGACTCAATTTTTGGATGAGGGAGTACTGGCTCATACTGCACATTCATTTCACACAATATAGAAAATAACAGTTGATCAAAAATGCTAAATTGATGCCAGTCATGGTGGCACACACCTTTAATCCCAGCACTCGAGGCAGAATCAGGTAAATATCTGTAAATTCAAGGCCAGCCTGGTATACATTAAAAAGTTAAAACAGATATGGTGTTGTACACTTGTAATCCCAACACTTAGGAATTAGAAACTGGAGGATCAGAAATTCAAGGTCATTCTCAGCTACATAGCAAGTTCAAGGCTAACCTGGGATATATAAGACTGTCAAAAAAAAAAAAAAAGGAAAAGGAAAAAGGTACCAGGCATGGTGGCACATGCCTTAATCGTCACACTTGGTCTAGAGGCAGAGGCAGGCAGATCTCTGTGAGTTTGAGGTCAGCCTGGTCTTCGTAGGGAGTTCCAGGCCAGCCAGGGGTACATTGTGAGACCCTGTCTTTAAAAATAATGAAAAAAAGTTAAAATTACCTGTGTTGTACACAGTCGAATTTGAGACTAGCCTGGGCAACATAGTGAGACTCTGTCTCAAAATATAAAATCATAATGGTTTATCACTATATACACTGTACACTAAACAAGCAGAAGTAAAAAAAAGATTGATATACTGAGTGTCAGAACCTTTACACACTATTAATAAGCGTGTAAAATAACTCAAGTACATTGGGAAACTCTTTAGCAGTTTCCACAAAGTTAAGCACTCTCCCCTAACTAGCCATTCCACTCAAAGGAGAAACATGTCCACAAAATTATTATGTAAGAATGTTTGTATTATCTCTACTTATAGTCATCAAAAACTAAAAGCAGCCCATATGCCCGTTAACAGGTGAATGGATAAAAGATCCATGGCATTGCCAGGTGTGGTGGCCCACACCTTTAATCCCAGCACTCAGGAGGGAGAGGCAGACAGATCTTTGTGAGTTCAAGGCTAGCCTGGTCTACACAGAGAGTTTCAAGCCAGCCAGAGCTACATAGTGAGACCCTGTCTCAATCGAAAACAAAAATTCGTGACATTAATAAAATATTACTTAATAAAGAGGAACCAACTAATGACACATGTCACAATGCTGATGAATTTCAAAAAGAAGCCACATACAAATTATACTGTAAGCATTTTATCGTGGTACAAAATCTTATGTAATTATGACTGTGATTTATTCATCTAGTTGTTTATTGGTGTGGAGATTAACTAGATTTATTCATCTAGTTACTTATTGGTGTGGAGATTTATTGGTGTGGAGATTAACTAGATTTATTCATCTAGTTATTTATTGGTCTGGACCTAAGACCAAGCACATGCTGAACTCTATCTCTAACATTAATTCCCAGACTCAGTGGGATGTTTTTTTAAAATAAATTCTTTTCAAAGTATTTGCTGGAATCCTAAGTGTAAAACAAAAACTGAGCTGTTCTGGTTGAATGGGGGAAGGGAGATGTTTGTATTATGTAATGAATACATTCCATTCTAGATGTAAAGATGTGCTTCTCTGTGTGGAGAGTTAGAAGACATTGTGACCCTTCATGTGTGTTCTTTCTTTCTCTGATCCTAGCTAAATGGAAAAATAATAATAATGATCACTTGTAGAACATATACTGTGGTACAGGCTTTGTTTTAAGTACTTGATGTGATTTAACTAATCCTTCTAACTTTATTTTATTTTTTTTCTTTTTTGGTCTTTTTGAGACAGGGTCTCCCTGTAGCCCCAGCTGTCCTGGATTCACCATGATAACCAGAATGGCCTCAAACTCACAGAGATCCGCCTGCCTCTGCCTCCCGAGTGCTGGGATTAGTGCACCACCATGCCCGGCCTCTAACTTTACTTTTTAAATTTTATTTATTATTTTTATGTATGACTATATTGCCTGCATGTAGGTAGGTGCACCCCTATCATGCAGTGCCTGCAGAGGTCAGAGAGGGTGTTGGATCCCCTGGAACTGAAGTTATGGGTGGTGGTTAGCCCACCATGTGGGTGCTGGGAATTGAGATAGGTAAATGACATCCTGTAGAGATGGCTCAGAGTTTAAGAGCACCCATATGGTAGCTTGCAACCGTTTATGACTCCAATTCCAGGGGAATTTCACACTCTCTTTTGACCTCTGTGGGCATTGCATGACACAAGTGCACTTAGACACACATGCAGGCAATACACTCATACACATAAACTACAAATAATAAATTAAAAAAAAATTTTTTAAGATTGGTAAATGTGGAGCCCAGATTTGAACACGTTCTGTTCGGTTCCCAACTTCACCACTACATTCAGCTACCTTAAAAAAAAAAAAACCAGACTGAGGGGCTGGAGAGATGGTTCAGTGGTTAAGAAGTCTGGCTGCTCTTGCAGAAGACCGGGGATTGAATCCCAGCACCCACCTGGCAGCTAACAACTGTTCGTGACTCCAGTCCCAGGGGATCTGACAGCCTCTTCTATCCTCCTCGGGCTTTGCATGACATGGATGCACTTACCTACATGCAGGCAATACACGCATACACATAAAATTAAAAAAATATAAAATATAAAAAAATTTAAAAAATAAGCCGGTCGTGGTGGCACACACCTGTAGTCCCAGCACTTGGGAGGCAGAGGCAGGGGGATCTCTGTGAGTTCAAGGCCAGCCTGGTCTACATAGTGAGTTCCAAGAAAATTTAAAAAATGAAAACAGACTGAATCATTCTGCTTTTCACCTCTGTGAAAAAAAGAATTTGGGGGATAATTCTGCCTTTTATGTTTGTCTAGAGCTAGCCAACATGGAAGAAGATCCCAGATCAGCTGGAGTGGCTACCTTTGTTCTTCAAGAAGAATTTGATAGATATTCTGGCTATTGGTGGTGTCCAGAAGCTGAAAAAAGTAAGTTCAAAGTAACAGATTCTAGGTCACTTTGAGAAGTAAAGATTCGATTGTGAATTGGAGTAGAGTTTAAAGCTGGGACAATAGATTATAAAGTGATAAAGATTAGATCCTTCTGGATATGAATCGTAGTAGAAACAATTACATTGTGCTTTGATGTCTTGGGGGTCTGTACTCTGCCAGTTTTTCAGGTAGAAAACTTGCCTAGGTAACTTCAGCAATGTTATGGCAAAATCCATAACTTAATGACTTGCTGTTGGAGGTGTGATTGAGTGGAGTGTGCATGAACAGATGAGCATGTGTGAATGAGTAGCTGAGAAACTTAAAGCAGTGGCTTACAAGCTTCTTAACTATGATCCAGTGGAAAATGTGCTGAGGATTGTGCATGGCCTAACACAGAATGCATCTACTTTATATTTAAACTAGAAGCAAATTTCATGAAACAGTGTTTATTCTTATATGTTATGCACTCTAATACTTCCTTTTATTTTTTTTTAATGGAGGTTTTGACCCATTGATAGATTTTATGACTTCACTATTGGTTTATAGCTAGCAGTTTGAACATTCCTCTAAAGGACCATGAAGAGTATTTTTAAGCCATTTAAAGTGTAACTGTTTGGCCATAGTTATACAGAACAAAATTTTGGCATAAATCATTCAAAACAACCAAGCTCTTTAGCATTTTATAGGGGAATATTATAAATTTAATTAAATAATTCCTTTTTCAACAAAGAATGCATTTTGAACAGAGTTCTTCAAAAAGTTTTCCCACTTTTTTTTTTCATTTTTCCCCTCTAAGTTTAACTTTTACTTGTTTAGTAATCATCCTGCTACTGCAAAGATGAGAGATATTTTTATGCATAAAATGTAGCCCAGGGTCCAGTGAGATGGCTCAGCAGTTTATAGTACTTTCCACCAAGACTGACAACCTGAGTTCAATTCCTGAGACCCACATGGTAGAAGGAGAGAACTGATGCCTGAAAGTTATCCTCTGACCTCACATGCATGCCACCACATATGCATGTACACACACACACACACACACACACACACACACACACACACATGCACGCACACATACACATATAAAATAAGTAAATGTAATTTTAAAGGAATTTTTTAAATAGCACAGTCTGGGAGTACAGCTCAGTGGTAGAGAAGAACTGGCCTAACATGTTCAAAAACTTGAATTCTGTAGCACCACTAAATTCATAAATAGCAGCATATTTTACTCATAAATTATTTTCCTCTCTAAAAGATCTAATATAGAGGGAATAGTTACTTATGATTACTCTGTAATATTATTCTAAATTTTCAATACCTAAATTCCTTTTAAGCTCCTAGTGGTGGTAAAATTCTTAGAATTCTCTATGAAGAAAATGATGAATCTGAGGTGGAGATTATTCATGTTACATCTCCTATGTTGGAAACAAGGAGGGCAGATTCATTCCGTTATCCTAAAACAGGTATTGTACTCCACTGGTATTTATGTTTATTCGTTTCCTCTCCCAGGTGTGGTGGCTCACACTTGTAGACTCAGCACTTGGAAGCTTGGGGCAGGAGGGTTGTCAGGAGTTTGAAGCCAGCTTGGGCTAGAAGAGTTGAGACCCTGTCTCAAAAAAATTTTTTTAAGTTTTTTTTCTTCAGTCATTCAAAAGTATGGTCAACATGATTATTTAACAGCATTAGTAAAGATTATTTGTTTACTACATGTGAGTAAAATAGATTTTGAAATAAAGCTGATTCTTTTTCATTGTTTTCAAAGGCGGGTATGCCCACAAAACTAATTAACTTGAAATGAACAAGGAAGTATCTTTCTTAAGTGATTTTATTCTTAACAATTTAGTAATTTTTTATCTGTTTTGCTGTTTACAGCATTTCAGTTACAAACATGGTACACAATTTCCCTTCTTTCTAGTTTTTAGTCTCTTTCCTGTGTTTACTGTCTATATTAAAGTCTGGTTTTGAGGTGGGTTCTTAGATTCATGTGCAATAAAGCCCTGACTATATACAGTATTCCCACCTTAAGTATGAGGGGATTGATCTGGAAAAATGAGTTTGAGTAATTTATTCATTGAGTTTGGACATTATTTATCCATTTATGTTTTTTTCTAAAGGCACAGCAAATCCAAAAGTCACTTTTAAGATGTCAGAAATATTGGTTGATGCTGAGGGAAGGGTAAGTGTGACACGCTGAACTGACTCTGTGTGCTTTTCTAAGCAATCTAGGAGGGTCTTTGATAAACTTTCTTACTTCTCCACTTGTTGAACTTGCTGAGATAGTTGTAGTCCATGATTTTCAGGTTGACCTAATTTTCTCCTTTCAAAACATTTGTGTTGGTCTTGGGAGGAGGGATAGTTCAGTTAATAAAGTGTTTGCCACTCAAGCAAAATCCCCAGAACCCATGTATAAAAGCTGGGCATTGTAGCATAGCCTACTCAGCGAGCTCCAAGCCAACAAGAGACCATGTATCAAAAACAAAAACAAAATAAACAAAAAACACCAGATGAATGGCTTCTAAGGAATAATACTGGAAGTTGTCCTCTAGCCTACACACACCTGCACACAGCACATACACACAAAAAAGAATATATTTTCATTCCTTTCAAAGTGTACTTTTTCTTCTCTGCCTTTATTAGTCCTTAAATCACTATAAAAACAAAGTGGTTACTGACTGGTTTACCTTCACTGTTGGGTGCACACCCTATCTGTGGTGGGTTAAGCATCTTGTGTTTGTCTTGTACTGCCACTTTCCATCTGGACATGCTCATGAGACTGTTTGAAAAGCAGAGCTTCTAAACTTTTTAAAACTTAGCTTTACTGAGATGATTCACATACAATATAATTCATCACTTAAAGTTTAAGTTCAGTGGTTTTTTAGTGCATTCACAGAATCAAGCAACCAGAGTCAGTTTTAGAACATTATTTTCTTCCAACAGAAACATCTCTCCCCTTAACCATAGTCCCCAGCTCTAGGCAACCACTATAGAATTTCCTATTTAGGACACTTCCTACAAATGAAATCATACATTATGTTGTCTGGCTTCTACTTAAGGTTCTCAAGTTCATCCATCAGCATCATGCGTGTGTCAGAACTTTGTTTTGTGTATGTATATGTGTGTGTGTGTGTGTGTTGCTGGAGATTGAACCCAGGGCCTCAATCATGCTACCATTCTACCACTGAACTACATCTCCAGCCCATGTACTTCATTTTTTGTTAAACATGTATATGTATTCATAGGGGCTTGGCGGGGGGGTGGCATGTAAATACTTGTACATGGAGGCCAGAGGTAAATGACAGGTGTCTTCCTTGATCACTCTCCCCTTTTGGGGGTGGGGGGTGTTTTTTTGAGACAGGATCTCCCTATAGCCAAAGCTGGCCTAGAACTCACTATGTGGATCAGGCTGGCCTCAATCTCTCTGCTTCCCTCATGCTGGGATTAAAGTCACGCACCACACCCAGCTCATCTCTCCACTATTAGATGGTTATCTCTCACTGAACCTGAAGCTTACTGATAGACTAAACTGGCTAGCCACCAAACCACAACGATCCTCCTATTTCTGCTTCCTCAGTACTGGGATTACAGGCACAGATTGCTGTGCCAGGCTTTTACATGGGTGCTGGGGGTCCAAAATCAGGTCTTCATATTAGTCTGGCAAACACTTTATTACTAAGCCATCTTCCCAGCCCCCTTCATTTCTTTTTATTGCTGAAAATTGTTTCTTTTTGTGGAATACCATATTTTTATTTATTTGCTCACTTCTCACTTATTTGTTGGGTATTTTGTTGTTTTACTTTTTAAAAAATATTTTATTTTTTATTTTTATTTTTACTTTATGTGTGTGCGTGTATTGCCTACATGTAGGTAAGTGCACCCATGTTGTGCAGTGCCCATGGAGGACAGAAGAGGCCATTGGATCCCCTGGAACTGGAGTTATGGACAGTTGTTAGCTGCCATGTGGGTGCTGGGATTCGAACCTGGGTCTTCTGCAAGAACAGCCTGTGCTCTTAACCACTGAGCCATCTCTCCAGCCCTGGGTTGTTTTCACTTTTAAAAAAAGATTTATTTTTAATTATGTGTTTATGGTTGGGGGCAGGGGTATGTGCACATCTGAGTGAAGGTGCCCATGGGGTCTAAAAGAGGGTTTCATAACTCATGGAGCTAAAGTTACAGGCAGTTGTGAGCTGCCTGATGTAGGTGCTGGGAATTGAACTTGAGTCCTCTGGAAGAACAGCAGGTGCTTTTAACCACTGAATCTCTTCAGCCCATTTCCACTTTTTTTGCTCTGAGGAATGAAGCTGCCATGAAGCCAGGCATAGTGGCATGTGGTTGTTATCCCAGGAATCTCTATATTCAAAAGGCTGAGGCAGGAACATCGCAAATTTGAGACAGCCTGGGCTTCATAGACTGTCTCTTAAAGAGAAAGGAAGTGGAAGGGGGTGGGAGGGAGAGAAGAGAGCAAGGGGGGAGGGAGGGAGGGAGGGAGGGAGAGAGAGAGAGAGAGAGAGAGAGAGAGAGAGAGAGAACTGTATATTCAAGGTGTTTGTGAGGGCTTACGTTTTTGTTTCTCTGGGGTATATGATACTGCTCTATTTAAGCCTTTGTGGAACTACCAGACTGTTTTTGAAAAGGTACATCCCACCAGCATTTTATAAAGTTTCCAATTTCTTCACATCATCCTAACTCTTGGTATTGTCCATGTTATTTGTTACAGCCATCCTGGTGGTTTTGAAGTGATAGCTCATTGTGGTTTAGTTTACATTTCCCTGGTGGCTAATGATGTTTCCTATGTTTATTGCACTTAAGTTATCTTCTTTGGAGGACTGTCTGCTTAAATGCTTTGACTATTTTTAAAATTATTTATTTTTTAAGTGTGCTTGTTAGATCTTTATAGGAAAAAAAATTTGCCTACTCCAGATCCTTTTCATTCGTATATTACACAAATGTATTTTAAGCTAAGATATAGATGGGGCTGGAGAGATGACTCAAGGGTTAAGAGCACTGGCTACTCTTGCAGAGAACCTGGGTTCAGTTCCCAGCACCCACATGTCAGCTAACAACAGTCTGTAACTCAAGTTCCAGGAGGAGCCCGATACCCTCCTCTGGCCTCCCCAGGTATTGCATGCATGTGGTGCACCTCCAAGCATAACACTCATAGACATAAAAGTAAGTAAATAATTCTTTTAAAAAGATACAGAGACCTAGAGACTATGATTTTTCCTAGATTCTAGACCTAAAGTGACTAAAATTTGAGTATATCATTTAATCAAGGGTTCTGTTAGTATAAACTGTTACGCAAAGGCTTTTAGACTATGTCAGTTCTTATGGCTAGAATTTGTTAGGCATAAAAAACACAAGCACAGAAAACCCACAACTTCTGATTTTATTGTGTGCTTTGAGCCCTTTAAGTTCCTATATCTGAAAAATATTGTGATGTTACAGGTAGTGATTTTAGTAGACCTAGTGAGCTCATTATTTGTCAGTCTTCTATAAGTTTTTTCCCTTTTCTTTCTTTTTTCCCCCTTTTCTTTTTAATAGATTATAGATGTCATAGATAAAGAATTGGTTCAACCTTTTGAGATTCTGTTTGAAGGAGTTGAATATATTGCCAGAGCTGGATGGACTCCAGAGGGAAAATAGTGCGTATGTTAAACTGTCACTTCTTTACAACTAATTTAGGATCCAGACTTTTAGGATGTCTGTGCTGTTGGCTTTGCCTTACAGTGGGATTTGCCTTCCCATATAAATTAACACTACCGTATTTCTGCTCAGGAATTTTTCCTGAACTCGGTGAACTTGTGGATTATAAATATAATTGTATTGCATTTTAATTCTCTTATATTAGCCAGTTATCCTTCATAGTGCTGTTCGTGGCTAAGTTGTATATAAAACTTAAAGGTTCATATATAAATGTGGGGTTTTTTTAATTGTATAATTTAGGCAGAAATATTAATAGAAACTTGCATGAGGACAATATAGACAACTGAATCTAATATAGATGACTGAAGTATCATAAAACTCACATTTGTAGACATTAATGAAGAAAACAGATTTAAGAAAGTCCCTTTGGCCAGGCGTGGTGGTAACATGCCTTTAATCCCAGCAGAGGCAGAAGCAGGCAGATTTCTGTGAGTTCAAGGCCAGCTGGGGCTACAGGGAGACCCTGTCTCAAAAAGGCCAAAAAAAAAAAAAACCAAAAAAAAAACCCACTTTTTTAATGTGTATGAGTGTAGCCTGCATGTAGGTAAGTATGCCTGTGTCGTGCAATGCCCATGGAGGACAGAAGAGGCTGTTGGCAGATCCCTGGAACTAGAGTTACAGACAGTTGTTAGCTGCCATGTGGGTGCTGGGTCTTCTGCAAGAACATCTGGTGTTCTGGACTGCTGAGCCATCTCCTAGCCCCAGAAAGCCACTTTTTAAAACCCTTGATATCTAACTTTTTTTTTTTTCCTTTTCCTTGTGGTGCTGGAATTAAACCCAAGGTCTAGTGTGTGCCAAGCAAGCAATCTACCTCCCAGCTACAATACTCCTAGCCCTCAAGCTTAACTTTTAAAATAAGTGTAGAGTTGGGTGTGGTGGTGCTCATCTCTCATCCCAGCACCTGAGAGGCAGATCACTGCACATCACTGAAGCTAGCCTGGACTACATAGTTCTAGGACTACCCAGATTACAAAGTAAGAGCCTATCTCCAAAAAAATCAAGACAAAATAAAACAAAAGATAGTGCACACCTGTAATCCTAAAACTTTAGAGGTAGAGTTCCTGGGATCAAAAGTTCAAGGTCATCCTCAGCTACTTAAAAAGTTCAAGACCAGCCTGGGTTACATGAGATTTTATGTCAACACAAACACACACAAAAAAACAGAAAACATTAATTAACTGTTTGTAAGTAACTTACTGTATGTTAAAGCATCTCTTTCACTGTAATTATAGAAATAGTTGTTAGGTACTAAGAGAGAGAATAAGAGGTTATTTTATTTGCTTTCTGAGAGCTTGCTTTATTTCTGGCGTTTCTCCTCATTCCTTTGAACAGTGCCTGGTCCATCCTTCTAGACCGTTCCCAAACTCACCTACAAATAGTTCTGATCTCCCCTGAGTTATTCATCCCAGTGGAAGATGATGCCATGGATAGACAGAGACTAATTGAATCAGTGCCTGACTCTGTGACACCACTGATCATCTATGAAGAAACAACAGATATCTGGATAAATGTATGGCTTTTTGTTTCTGTGACTTGGCTACAGATTTTCTCAGGCTGCTAAGGGAGATGAAGCTTTATAGCAAACTACCAAAGTGAATTCTTCTTAAGTTCAAAGAAATTGTGAATGTTATTTCCTCAGTTTGAACATTTCAGTTGGAATGATGGTTCCGGAATGGAGTATTTATAGACAGAGAGCAACTGCCATTGAGATGGCAGCTACTGTAACTACATATGTGTTCCTGCACATACTGGGTATCTAATACACGGGCTCAAATCTCCAGCCTCTTCATGTAACTGAGAGAACCTTCAAGAGTTGTGTCTAGAAAGGACTCTCTTAAGTTGGCAAATTATATAAAATATACTGGTTTTTATTTGAGTTTTGCATTTCCTATTTTAGCATAAAAATTAGATGTAAAATAAAGCCATCACTCTAGCTGAATGTAGGGTTCCTGTGAGTCACCTAAAACAGATGAACATCTGTTTTCCTTCAACTATTAGAATATTTCTCTTTGGAAAGCAAAAATAAAGAATGTTGTTCTTCATTGTTTCTGTAATAAGATTTATATTGTTGCATGAACCTTGTGTTGTGCTTCAAAGATTTCAGAAATGGTAAATCATAGCTTTTGGTCAGATTGTTCTTTTTGTTTTTTTTCCATTTAGAAACAGTTATTTCTTGGTGGATGAAATCTTTAAAGTAAAATAAATGTGAAATTCCCAGGTAAAACCTACTATTGTAAGTGTACTGCATCCCTAGCACTGACCACTGTTCATATGCAAAGATGCTTATCAAACAATTCTTTCCCTCAGGTAATTGTATGTGAAGTACTTCCACTGCTGTCTAGTAAATGAAGCTATTCTTTTTACAGATCCATGACATCTTTCATGTTTTTCCTCAAACTCACGAAGATGAAATTGAGTTTATTTTTGCCTCTGAATGTAAAACAGGTTTTCGTCATTTGTATAAAATCACATCCATTTTAAAGGAGAGCAAATATAAACGATCCAGTGGTGGGCTGCCTGCCCCAAGTAAGAAATCTTCTTGATTTATTTATTTTTTTTACATTTTATTTAGAGCAAAAGTGTATGTGTGTACACGTGCGTGTGTACGCGTGTATATGTTTATGTGTGTATACGTGTGTATGTGTGTACGTGTGTGTACATGCATAAACCACAAGTGTGTGGAGGTCAGAGGACAACTTGTAGGAGTTGGTTCTCTCACTTCACTATGTGGGTCCTGGGGATCAAACTCAGATTGTCAGGCCTGGTAGCAAGTGCAGTTACACACTGAGCCATCTTGGTAACCATATCTCTTTTGTATTCTTTTTTGGTCTTTTTGAGACAGGGTCTCCCTGTAGCCCCAGTTATCCTGGAACTCACTATGTAGTTCCAGGCTGGCCCTGAACTCATAGAGATCCATCTGCCTCTGCCTTTCCAAATGCTGGGATTAAAGGCATGCACTACCACACCCAGCTCTTTTGTATTGAGTACGTTAACTGAAATGTAAATCTATGCATGTACAAAACCCAGCAAATTCAAAATAGATATGTAATAAACTATTATTAATAATGAGTAATCACTGAATGATTGGAATACCTATTTTTACTTATACGTTTGCCTTTATTAGAATTTGTAACTAATTTTAAGTCAGCTAGTATTATTTTTATTAAAAACTTAAATTTTTTTGTTATCTTTTATTTTATGTGTATGTGTGTATTGCCTACGTGTGTAAGTGCACCCATGTTGTGCAGTGCCCACAGAGGTTAGAAGGGGGTGTCAGATCGCCTGGAAGTGGAGTTACGGATGGTTGTTAGCTGCCCTGTGGGTGCTGGATTCAAACCCAGGTCTTCTGCAAGAGCAGCCAGTACTCTTAACCACTGAGCCATCTCTCCAACCCCATATTTTAAAAACTTTTTTTTTTTTTGGTCTTTCTGAGACAGGGTCTGGTCTCCCTTTAGCCCCAGCTGGCCTGGAACTCACTCTGTAGACCAGGCTGGCCTTGAACTTAGAGAAATCCACCTGCCTCTGCCTCCTGAGTGCTGGAATTAAAGGCGTGTGCCACCATGTCTGGCACACATAAAAACTTTTAAAACATGTCTTATAGAGGGGTTGGGGAGATGGCTCAGTAGTTAAGAGTGCTTACTGCTCTTGCAGAGGACCTGGGTTTGGTTCTTAGCACACATATCAAGCAGCTTGGAACCCCCAATAACTCTAGCTCCAGTGGATATGACACCCTCTTTTTGTCCTCCACTGGCACCTGTGTGCACATAAACTCACACAAACACATGTACATACACACAAATTAAGAAAAATAGTAAATCTTTTTTTTAAAAAAAAGTTATATAAAGCCGGGCGTGGTGGCACACGCCTTTAATCCCAGCACTTGGGAGGCAGAGGCAGGCAGATCTCTGTGAATTCAAGGCCAGCCTGGTCTACATAGTGAGTTCCAGGACAGCTGGGGCTACAAAAAGACCAAAAAAGTTATATAAAGCTTGGGGTCATGGCTTAATTGTAGAAGCCTAGTGTACGTAAAAGTCCTGCACTCAAAAAAAGTAATAAACTTAAAAGTAAGTTATACATATCAGGGCTGGAGAGTTGGCTCAGTGGTTAAGAGCACTGACTGCTCTTGCAGAGGACCCAAGTTCAATTCCCTGCATCCACATGGCACCTAACAACCATCTGTTAACTCCAGTTCCGGGGAATCCAACATCTTCTTCTGACCTCTGCGGGCTTTGTATAACATGAGGGCAGGCAATTGACTCATACACATAAAATAAAAATAATAAATAAAATAGTAAGTTATATAGTCATTTGCTGTTTTTATACATTAGATGCTTTTCTTTCCTTTTTTGAAAAATATATTTGTTTTTTATTTATTTTTATTTATTTTTTGGTCTCACTTTGTAGCCCTGGCTGGAACTCACTGTATAGACCAGGGTGGCCATGTGGATGCTGGGAACAGAACCTGAGTCTTAGGCAAGAGCAACTAGTGCTCTTAACTGCTGAGCCATCTCTCTAGCCCCGTCTCTTTGGGGTGTTTTTAAGACAGTGTAGCCCTGGCTTGGTTCCAACTCTCCACAGTCCTCCTGTCTTGCCTCCCAGGTGCTGAGATTACAGGTATGAACACCTATGCCCAGCTCACACACACACACACACACACACACACACATGCAGTACTAGAAATTAAACCTAAGGCCTTCCTTTATCACTGAGCTATATCCCCAGCCCTTTCTGGTTTTTATTTTGAGACAGGAACTAGGGAAGTTACTCAGTAAAGTGCACAAGGACATGAGTTCCAATTCCTAGAACCAGCGTAAAATTGCTTGGCAGTGTGGGCCTGTAACCTGAGACATGGGGGTGGAGTAGAGATAAATGGATCCCTGAAGCACATTGGTCAGTGACCCTAACTGAAAGGATGAACTTCAGGTTCAGTGAGAGACCTTCTCTCAAAAAGTAAAGGTGGCGTGTGATTGAGGAGACACCCGATGTCCACCTTGGACCTCTGTGTACCTGCACACATGCCCACACCACATACACACACACACACACACACACACACACACACACACACACACACATAATGGAGAGAGAGAGAGTCTTAAATTAGCTTTGAATTCACAATACTCCTCAGCCCCTTGAGAAGCTGACTTCACTTATGTGCCACTGTGTCCAGCTTGAAGAGGCATCTCAATGTAATGATGAGTATCTTTCCATCTACATATTGGCCATTTATATGTATCTTATACCCTGTCTCAAAAAAAAATCTATTTTGCTGTTTTCACATTGTTTCCATGAGTCCTGTCATTATAGAATATTTTGAAAACTCATAACTTGCTTTTTTTAATATTATTTTTATTTTATGTGTATGAGTGTATTGCTTGCATGCATGTGAGTGCACCTGTGTCACGTAGTGCCATGGAGGTCAGAAGAGGGCTTCGGATTCCCCTGGAAATGGAGTTAAGGACAGTTCGTAGCTGCCATGTGGATGCTGGGAATCGAACCCAGGTCCTTTGCATGAGTAGTCAGTGCTCTTAACCGCTGAGCCATCTCTCCAGCCCCCCCCCTCTTTTTTTTTTAATGTGTATGAGTGTATTACCTGCATGTAAGTGCACCCATTCATGCAGTGCCCATGGAGGTCAGAAGAGGGCATTGGATTCAGTCTTTTGTTTTTTTTTTGAGACAGGCTCTTTCTGTGTAGCCCTGGCTGGCCTGGAACTCGGAAATCCACCAGTATTTGCCTCCCAAATGCTGGGATGAGAGATGTGCACCACCATGCATGGCTTCTTGGATTCTTCAAACTTAAGAGTATTAATCATTTGAAATAACTCAGTGTCATTTAGTATGCACTAAAGATTGTGTGCAACCACTATCTTTATCTAGCTCTAAAGCATTATGCCAAACCTAACATCAATTTTTTAAAAAATTATTATTGCACGTTTTTGGAAAACACAGTTTAGAAAACTATTCTTTCTTCTACATTGTTTCATTTGCTTATGGTCTGGTATAAAGTATTAAATTTTAATTGTATTTATCCTCAGGTGATTTCAAGTGTCCTATCAAAGAGGAAATAGCAATTACCAGTGGTGAATGGGAAGTTCTTGGCCGGCATGGATCTAATGTATGTTTTTTTTTTCTATTGATAAATTTGGTAAACCTCTGCTGTGTATGCAATGCAAAAAAACTGAGTAATGCAGTGTATATGTGTATGATCCTAATATTTTGAAAATATTGTTAGAGTCTAAAAGAATATAAGTTGTCCCAAAGGAAGAATCTTATTTTAAATTATAAAGCTCATCTATTTTATGACTCTGGTAGTAGATGGATGTGTTCTGGCTACTAAAGATCACCATTTTCAAATATATTGTTGCCATTTAGTAAAGCAACCTGTATGTGTGGGGTCTAGCAAAAATTGTAATAGAATATAAATTGAAAATTAATTTTCAATACATTATATTCATGCTGCCTCTTTTATTATTTTTATTTTATGTGTATGGTATATTGCCTGCATGTGTATAAGTGCACCCGTGTCATGCAGTGCCCACGGATGTCAGAAGATGGCATCAGATCCCTAGAACTGGAGTTACAGATGGTTGTTAGTGGCCATGTGGGTGCAGAATCAAACCCGGGTCCTCTGCAAGAGCAGTCAGTGCTCTTAATCATTGAGCTCTCTTTCTAGCCCCCATCTTTTTTAAAAAAATATTTATGTTTATGTGCATTAATGTATTGCCTGCATGTATATAAGTGCACTCATGTTGTCCAGTGCCTGTGGAGATCAGAAGAGGACTTTGAATTTCTAGAACTGGTGTTATAAGTGATTGTTAGCTGCCATATGGATGCTGGGAACCAAACCTGGGTCTTCTGCAAGAGCAGCCAGTGCTCTTAACTACTGAGCCATCTCTCCGGCCCCCTATACATGCTATTTTACATCAGAAATTATATTTGCTATTCCTGAGGTAGAAATAGTCTTTCATTCATCTTAGGTCATAAATTAAACCTTTTAGAGGTTAGACTAATAGGCAAGAGAAGGGAAATACACCCTATTTTGTTCTTACCATGTAATTTTCTATAGTAATTCAGTAAAGTTTGGGGACAGAGGTTAACTTTTGTTGTTTTTTTTTTTTAAAAAGGTGGGCATAGTGGGGCACACCTCTAATCCGAGCACTCAGGAGGCAGAGGCAGATAGATCTCTGTTAGATACAGGCTGGCCTGGTCTACATGGCAAGTGCCAGGCCAGCTGTGGCTACAGGGAAATCCTGTCTCAAAAACAACAACAAAAAGAATATTGTAGGCAACTTTTAAAGGCTAATTTCACTGGGATACTCAAATGGCCTTCTGGTTATATATAAATAACATTGTTTTCTTCTGGTTGGGGACCTCAGATACTAGTACTATTACTTGAGGAAAAAAATCTCATTGTGAAATTGTAGGTTCTGAAAACAAGAAACTAAGCTGGGTGTGGCAGTGCACACCTTTAATTGCAGGGGATCTCTGAGTTCAAGGCTAGCCTGGTTTACGTAGAAAGTTCCAGACCAGTCAGAACTACACAGTGAGACCCTGTCTTTTTTTTAAAAAAAAAAAGGTGAATAATGAAGTAATTTCCTGGGGAGGAGTGTGGGGAGATGAGATACTTAAAAATAGTTGTTGCCGGGTATGGTGGTGCACACCTTTAATCCCAGCCTGAGTTCAAGGCCAGCCTGGTCTACATAGTGAGTTCCAGGACAGGTGGGGCTACAGGGAGACCCTGTCTCAAAAAAGACCAAAAAATAAATAAATAAATAAATAAATAAATAAATAAATAAATAAATAAATAAATAAAATTGCTTTTAGCCTGATGTGGTAGCACACATCTTTAGTCCCAGCACATAGGCAGAGGCAGGCAGATCTCTTTCGTCTTCAGTATGTAAAAATTTTGAAATTTTAGTAAGCTTTCAGTTGACTAGCAGAGTACTTTTTAAATATTTATTATTTTTATGTGTATAAGTGTATTACCTGCATATGTGTAAGTGCACCCATGTTTTGTAATGCCCTGGGAGGTCAGAAGAGGGCATCAGATCCCCTGGAACTGGAGTTGTAGATGATTGTTAGTCATCATGTGAGTGCTGGGAATTGAACATAGATCCTCTGCAAGAGTAGCCACTGCTCTTAATTGTCAACCCATTGTTCTAGCCCCAAGATTTTTTGTGTGTTGTTTTGTCTTTTTTTTTTTTTCCTCTCTTTTTGAGACAGGGTCTCTCTGTAGCCCCAGCTGGCCTGGAACTCAAGACCAGGCTGGCCTCGAACTCACAGATCTGCCTGCCTCCTGAGTGCTGGGATTTTGTTTTTAAGTAATGTAATACCCTCAGAGAAATGCCACGCTGTTTTGGGTCAAATCAAGAGTCTTTTATTAGCCAGCTGTCAAGAGGAGATCAATTCCCCAAAAAACTCTCAACCTCGAGGGGAGGCAGAGTGAGGTTTATAAAGCCTGAAACTACAATTACATCCTTCCAGGGTCAGAGCCAGTAGTTATATCAAATTATAGTTATACCAGACCAGGGACAGGTCAGTTAACACAGAGGTTTTCAGTAAATAGAAATTTTCAGTTGGGAAAAGCAGGTTTCTAAAAATTGCAGAGAATGAGCTCCATGGAGATGCAGGTGTAGCTGGGTAAGAGGAGATGCTACCTGAGTGGTAGTTTCCCAGTATTGGAGAAACAGTGTACTCCCTGAATGAAGCTACAGATGCAGCCTTCTTAGGATGTTCTAGCTGGCTGGCTGGCTGGCTGCAGTGGGAATGGCTGGGCAGAAACACAGTGAAGCAAAAGTCAGCTAGAACAAAATGAACTCAGTTTTGCCATTTCAAATAACAAAGAAAGCCATTTATTTAGATTGCTGTAATTTGGGAAGAATATAGGTGAATTCAGTTCTGGATAGTAACTTCAAAGATCTTATCCAGGACTGGGGGCATAGCTCAGTGGCAAAGCACTTGCCAAAAAAAAAAAAAATTCCACTTATTATATAAACTATACCACTATTGAAGCTGATTGATTCTAGTTACTTTCAATTCAATATTCACTTTTGCAGATTTATACAAAAGATCTTTAAAAAAGTACTAACTTAACCCTGCACTGAGAAATAAAATTAATGTCTTCTAAGTTTGCAACTAAGGTACAGTATAGGATGTTTTCCTTTAAAGAATTGTTATTTAGGGGGTCTGGAGAGATGGCTCAGTGGTTAAGAGCACTGGCTGCTCTTACAGAGGTCCTAGGTTCAGTTCCCAGCACCCATATGGTGGCTAACAACAGTCTATAACTCCAATTCTAGGAGGATCTGATGCCCTCTTCTGGCCTCTTTGGGCATTGCATGCATGTGTATACAACATACACGCAGGTAAAACATTCATACACAAAAATAATAACAAGAATTGTTATTTTAAGGAAATAATTCTCTAATTTTAAGGCAGTACACAGTCTAATCAGATTAGGAAATGATACCAATAGTGTGTGACTCAGCCTTTTAACCTTCTGGATAGGAGCTATTTTTAGCTGTAAACAAAACCAACTCAAGCTGATTAGCATGGTAGCAAAATAAAAACAAAAGAAGCCCAAGTCAGAGGGCTCTGATGACCGCACAAGATCAGGGGCTGTCTGTTGAATTGCTGGCCTCATCTTATATTGGTACTGATGTGTGTTGTCATTTTGGCAGATCCAGGTTGATGAAGTCAGAAAGCTGGTATATTTTGAAGGCACCAAAGACTCCCCTTTGGAACATCACCTGTACGTGGTCAGTTATGTAAATCCTGGCGAGGTGACGAGACTGACCGACCGTGGCTACTCCCACTCTTGCTGCATCAGCCGGGTACTGAGTCCCTGCTTGAAAGGGGTTCCTGTGATATAAAGCTCTGTGCTCAGATAACAGTCCTTTTGAATGGTGTGAAAGTTGGTGAAGTTGGCCTGCAGAAACCTCATTGTCCAGGAGAAGCTTTAAAGTGCTCAGCCTCACTCATCATTGTGTATTTTGCTTCAGCCTTAGTGCAGATGTAACCACAAATAATCTTTCCTTTTCTTGTAAAAACTATAATTGTCTCTCCTTTCTCTAGCATTGTGACTTCTTTATAAGTAAGTACAGTAACCAGAAGAATCCACACTGTGTGTCCCTCTACAAATTATCAAGTTCTGAGGATGACCCAGCTTGCAAAACAAAGGAATTTTGGGCCACCATTTTGGATTCAGCAGGTACACTTTTTCTCTGAGCCTTACCTTAACTAGGATTAATACAGCAGCTCACTATACCTGTGGCCCTTGTCCATGTCTCCTGGATAGTCTTCTTATCACTCAGCCCTTCCTGGCCCTTAGCTGCTAGACTTGGGGTAGCTCCCACCTCTTCTGTTCTATCACCTGCTGTGTAAGATGGATTGCCTGTCACCTAAGCAGGAACAGGTCTGGAAAGTCTTTGTGAAAAGCAGATTAAGATAATGTATTCTGGGGCTGAGCGGTTAAGAACACTGGCTGTTCTTGCAAAAGACCCTGGTTAGAATCCCAGCACTCATGTGGCAGCTAACAACTGTCTGTAACTCCAGTTCCAGGGAATCTAACAGCCTCTTCTGTCCTCCTCGGGCATTGCATGACACGGGTGCACTCACCTACATGCAGGCAATACACGCATACACATAAAAATAATAAATAAAATTTTTTTTAAAAAAGGGGGACTGGAGAGATGGCTCAGTGGTTAAGAACATTGACTATTTTTGCAGAAGACCTGGGTTTGAATCCCAGCCCCCACATGGCAGCTAACAACTGTCTGTAACTCCAGTTCCAGGGGATTTAACAGTCTCTTCTATCCTCCACAGGCATTGCACGACATGGGTGCCCTTACCTACATGCAGGCATAACACGCATACACATAAAATAAAAATAAATTAAAAAAAAATTTTAAAGAACTGTTTGAAACTAGAAACCCTACCTGGGTCAAATGCATAACAAGCATGAAGTTTAACAAGTATATTTCCAAGTCTAACCACAAGAGGGCAACAGTTGGCAGCGATAGAGAGCCAGAAAGGAGTGGATGGAGAAGGGAGCATTTAATCTGGAATGTATTCTAAATTAAGAAGACCCTTCAAGCAGGGGGAAATGCAGCTTTAATGAATAACCAGCTGGTAGCTTTCTGAAAGTTGTAAAGTTCATACAGTGACCATCTATTTTTTTAAAAAAAAACAACAAGCTCTGACAATTTTTTTTTAATAATTATAATCTTTGAGAATGTCATACAATGTATTTTGGTCATACTCACCCCCAGCTCTTCCCCTTAACTCTTCCCAGATCCATCCCCAACTTCATGCCCTCTTTTTTTCTTTCCTAAATTTTTTTAAGATTTATTTTTTTATGTATAAGTGTTTTGTCTGTATGTATGTAAGTGCACCTATGTCATGCAATGCCTGAGGAGCCAGAAGAGGGCATTGGATCTCCCAGAACTGGAGTAATGGGTAGTTGCTAGTTGCCATGTAGGTGCTAGGAACCAAACCTGGGTCCTCTGCAAGAGGAGCCAGCACTCTTAACCACTGAGCCATCTCTCCAGCCCCTTTTTCTTTTTTAAGAATAACCCAAGTCCAGTTTGTGTTGTCCATACACTCCTGGATGAGGGGCCATCTGTTGAATTGTGGTAGACCTATAGGAACCACACCCTTAAAGAAAACTGACTCTCCCTCCCCTCAGAAGCCATAAACTGTCCATAGCTCCTCAGTTTAGGGTGGGGGCTCATGAGCTGCTCTCCAGTCCACACTGGTGCAGATCTTGTGCAGGTCTTGTGCAGGCAGCCACAGCTATGAGTTCATGAGTCCTGTCATGACCAAAAGACACTGTTTGCCCCAGTCCTCCCTGACCTCTGGCTCTTTCCGCCCCCTCTTCTGCAATGGTCCCTGAGCCTTGGGGAGAGGGCAAAATTTTATTAAATAAAAACTTTCCTGGTTTACTTTTCACCAGTCTGCTGTGATGCTTCTAATAATACCAGAATCACTTGGATCAGTGACAGTGTACACACCCTGCAGGATTTTTTTGCACGCTGTGCCCAGTTCAGTATTACTGCCACTGCAGTGATGGACACTAACACAGCTTAGATTCTAGTTCAGATTTCCTCAGAACTGGGCAGTTGCCCTTGGTGAGGATGATCAATTTCACTTTGCTGAACCTCTTCAGTGAACCTCTTCAGAGTCTGCTTTACTCCAAGACATACTTTCCACTTTTCATAACAAGCTGAAGCCTAGAGTTGATTGGCTTTACACTTTTTTATCTTTGTTACCACCATCTTCCTACCTTAGGTCTGGAATGGCCCCCAACCAAGAGCAACTACCAAAGGTGGCTGGGGAGTGAGAAAAGCAACACTTGCTCATGAGCCACCATGCCCAGCTTGTTCTTTTTTAAGTACTTCACTTCTGGGTTGCTTACTTTGTAAGTTGCTATAACAAAATAAGTTGTTATAAGTCGCTTACAAGCAGCTTATGGAAGAAAGGGTTTATTTTGGTTCACAGTTGGAGGGTACTGTCCATTATGAAGGGGAAGTCATGGTAACAGGCATGCGAGGAAACTGGTTATATTGCGTCCAATCAGGAAGCAAGAGAGAGATGCATGTTCCTGCTCAGCTCCTTTTCTCCTTTTTATTCAGTTTGGGACCCCAATTTAAAGCATGATACCTCCCACATTTAGAGTGGGTCTTCCTCAACTAATATAATCTAAAAAATCCTTCACAGACAAGTCCAGAGGTTCATTTCCACAGTGGTTATATCTGTCTCATTAACTGTCACATATACTTTTTAAAGATTGTGTGTGTGAGAGACAGAGAGAGAGAGAGAGAGAGAGAGAGAGAGAGAGAATGAAAGACCTGAGTTCATATTGCCAAAGCCCACATAAAAGCCAGATATGGCTATGTGTGCCTATAACTCCAACACTGGGGTGAGTAGATGGTGGGGGGCTGTTGTCCTAGAAGCTTGATGGCCAATCAGCCTCACAGAGAGGGCAAGCTTCTGCTTCAGGGACTGTCTCAAGGAAATAGGGCAGAAATCAACAGAAGATGCCTGACATCCTTCTCTGGCCTCCACATTCATGTACACAGATACTCATACCCTCACACTCATGTGTTTGCACCTTACACATATATACACACAATAATAAAATTTTTAAATTGGAATAAACCAAAGGTATGAGCATTATTTAATATCCAGGTGTAGAGTTTGCAGCTGCACACAGACACCGAGGAGAGGTTCATACAGCTTTGGTAAACCAAAGACTGAAGATGACTCTTTTTTCTAGGTTCTGGTTGACTTGATCAGAAAAAAAATTTGTGCACCTACTGTGAGCAGGTTAGATTGACTAAGTTAAAAATAAGTTAGTCTTAAGCCAGCCGTGGTGGCTCACGCCTTTAATCCCAGCACTCAGGAGGCAAGAGGCAGGCGGATCTCTGTGAGTTCAAGGCCAGCCTGGTCTACAAAGTGAGTTCCAGGACAGCTGGGGCTACAGGGAGACCCTGTCTCAAAAAAAAGACCCCCCCAAAAAAATGGTTCTTGTCCCTTGCCCCCAACCATTTTGAAATATGTGTGTGTGTGTGTGTGTGTATGTGTGTGTATTATGTGATTTAACCACCAATAGGTTAAGACTGAACTGAGCCCAAGATATTTGTATAGTTTTGTACATAAACACCTCCTAGACTCAAAATAACTGTGTGTCTACATCTGACAGATACTTTGACAGTCATTAGGAGTTTTTTTTAGATGAATGTGCTTGTTTAGCTTATTGCATATTAAGGATTGGTAGTTACTTGGGAGGGTGTCTGAGTTTTGACACTTCTCTTGTAAGAACTCCTTTCACAGGCTTTCTGTGTTGCCACTCACAGGTCCTCTTCCTGACTACACCCCTCCAGAAATTTTCTCTTTTGAAAGTACTACTGGATTTACATTGTATGGAATGCTTTACAAGCCTCATGATCTACAGCCTGGAAAGAAATACCCCACCGTGCTATTCATATATGGTGGTCCCCAGGTGAGTATGTAAATTCATATAAATATACATTCATATTTCAGGACGATTTTTAAAAAGTACCTAGCCAGTTCAGACAGAATTTGAAGGCCAGATATGTTGATCCACATCTATAATCCCAGCACTCTGGAGGCAAAAACAGGATTGTTGCCAGCCTGGTCTATAGCAAGTTGGAAGCTAACCAGAGCTATATAGCAGGAGCCTGTCTAAAAAAAAAAAAGCTCAGCGGTTAAGAGCGCTGAGCACTGGCTGCTCCTGCAGAGGACCTGGGTTCAGTTCCCAGCACCCACACAGTGGCTAACAACTGTCTGTAACTCCAGTTCCAGGGGCTCTTCTGACCTCTGTGGGCTGCACTACAGGGTGCTCTTAGTATACATACACATAAGATAAAAATAACTTAAAAATTTTTTAAAAAAGAATGATGACCATGTATTAAGTTAAAGCACTTTGCCATCATTATGCTTCAAAAGCAAAACATGATTCATATCTTTATTATAGTTATCTGTACAAATCATGAAAAATTTAGATTGGATTTCTGTTAAAAACTGAAGTGACATCTTTGTAAACCTAAAAAGAAATGACTGAATACAAAGCATGTGACAAGCAAGGCTCTAGGGCTCGCTCTGAAGCTGCGTGTGTTTGGCTGTAACACTTTCAATGTAAGTGTAAGAAAAGCAGTGAGATTATGTGAAGCATGTGAGACTCAGCATAAAACTAGATGGTAAGACCAGAAAACTCATCATGTTTGTAATTGAGTTAAAAAGGTTTGACCACATGAAAAGATGCCTAGCATCATTAAGCATTAGGACAATGCAGATCAGAACCATAATGGGGTATTAATATTCATACCAATTACGATAGTTGCTAAAGAAAATATGTGTTTGTTATATAGGAGGTGGAGAAATTTGAACCCTGATCCACTGCTGGGGAGAATGTAAATTGATGTGGTCACACAAAGAGTAGAGCTCCTCAAAGAAAGCTAAACACAATTATCACGAAATCCAAAAATTCTACTTCTGGTTTATTCCCAGAGAATTGGATTTATATACCCATTTCCACACTAGCCAGGAGATAGAAGCAACTCAGGTGCCCACTAGCAGATGAGTAAGCAAAATGTAGTTTAAACATATAATAAGGGCCTCCGAGAGGGTAAAGCTACTTGCCACCAAGTCTGACAATCTGGGTTCAATCTCCAGGAGCTACAAGATAGAAGGAGAGAATCGACTCTAGCAAGTTGTCCTCTGACCTACACATGCATACCATGATACACACACACACACACACACACACACACACACACACACACTAAATATAATGAAATGTTATCCTTAAAAAGGAGAAAACTTCAGCACTAGATCGAGAACTATTTGAGACTGATTGCCACTGGGTGAGGGAGAGTATGACTTACATACGACCACTGGATGGGCTGACTAGACTCCAGTGGATGCATTTACACTGAAGGACATTTGGTTACAAACATCTGAATGAATAGGACTTAGCATGTGTGGCAGAGTGCATAGGGTTGGGGGGGAGTGTGGATGGGGGAAGGGGTCTGGATATGAGTAGGAAATATTATATGAAATTTTAAAAGCTCAATTAAAAAAACAAGGGAAATGGAGATCATTAGAACGAAGGATGCTATGGAAGAAAAATAATAAAAAATAGGAGGAAACAGCCAGGCATGGTGGCTCAGGCCTTTAATGTACTTGGGTGGCAGAGGTGGATCTCTCTGAGTTCAAGGCCAGCCTATCTACATAGTGAGTTCTAAGCCAGCTGAGGCTACAGGGAGACCCTGTCTCAAAAAGACAGAAAAAAAAGGAAACTCAGTGGAGTCAGTAAGATGGTTCAGTAGGAGAAGGCATCTGCTGCCAAACCTAACATCCTGAGTTCAACCCTGGGACCCACATGGCAGGAGGAAAGAGCCAGCTCCTGCAAACTGTCTTTTGACCTCTATACACATCCACACACACACAAAGTAAATAAATTTTTTTAACTTAAAATTTTTTTAAAATGAAGCTGCCACCTGCTGTAATGTGATGAAGCCTGAGGACATTGTGCTATAAGCTGTCACAAAGGGACAAATGCATTATTTCACTTGCAGAGGTATCTATAATGGACAGATTGACAGAGTGCAATGGAGATTGTCTAAGACTAGGGACCAGGAGGGTGGAGAGTTGTTTAATGTATGCAGTTTCTGCTGGAATGATTAAAAGGTTCTGAAAATGGTTAGTGGTTTTCATTCTGCACTGTTGTGACTGTTCTTTATTGCTACTGAAATTGTATACTTAAAATGGTTTAAATAGATTTTATAATAAAATTATAGTCAATTCAATTAAAATTATTTGGAGTGCTTTGTGAATACAACTGTGCATTTTTGCTTAGTAGAAACACCACTTGATGCCACAAGCCTGTCATGTGGCTTTTGAAAATATGTGACACGTTGTTGATTTCTTAAAGTGTCCTTAGGGAGTATGAAGATTTGGTATGTAGTATGATCTAGTGATAAGTTTGCCAGGAAAGTTCTCCATGAGATCTCAGATATTGTAGGGCTTCTGACACCTCACCTCAGCACACTGGAAGATCATTCATCTTGCTTGATGAATCCATGTGGGTTAATCATGAAGAGATTCCTTAATGTAAAGCTAGATCTTTCTTGTAGCACATAATAACCTTGTAAAATGCTCAGTTCTAGAAGAGCGTAGTGTGCCTGAGGTCCAAACCATGTTCTTTATTGGTGTGTATTCAGGTCAGAATAGGAGATCACTGAAGCAGCAACAGTGTTAAAGTTCACAGAATCAAGTGAATTACTTTATTACTGAATACCTCAGTTACTTTAGGTCAGATACAGTGAAATCGGACTGAGAGGTAGAATGCTTGTCAATAGGCCCTAGGTCTGAAAAAACCCTAGCACTGAAAAAAAAAATGGAATGAATTAATAGATAGATAAACAAATACAGGGATGTTTGGTGGTTTGTTTTGCTACTGGGTCTTGTTAAATATCCCCAGCTGGCTTCAAACTTGCAGCAGTAAACCTGCCTCTGCCTCTTGAGTGCTGGTATTACAAGTGTAAGACAACCTACCCAGCAATAAATGCATGTTCATTTAATGGATGCTCATGATATTTTCTAAAATGTGCCAGATACTCTTCTACAAATAGAAATGAAAACAGATTGAGTGGTCCTGTAGCAAGATGGCTCAATAAGCAAAGGGGCTTGCTCCCAAGCCTAACAAGCAGTTCTGTCCAGGAACAGAAATGCTAAAAAAAAAGAGAACTGACTCCTAAAAGTTGCCTTCTGACCTCCACATATATAGAACACACATGGATGTGCCCCCCCACAAATAAGTATAATATGTGTATATATGTATTTCATATATTACATATATATGTATGTATAAATTAAATTTTAAAAAAATATTAAAGAGAACAGATCAGGGTAGGTGATAACAGAATTCAAGTTTGAAGAATTGATCCTGAAGGAATCCTTTTGGTTTCCCAGTGGCAAAGGCTATTATGCTTAAGGGCCTCTAGAAGCAGAAGACCTGCAAGCTGTGCACTTTGAGAAGGAGAAAGTCATGTTAAAAGTCTTTGGAAAAGGGACTGCAGACATGGCTCAGTGGTTAAGAGCACTAGCTGCTCTTGGAGAGGACCAGGTTCAATTCGCAGCACCCACATGGTGCTTAAAGCTGTCCGTAACTCCAATCTCAGGGAATCTGGTGCCTTCTTCTGACCTCTGAAGAGGTCATTGCATGACATGGGTGTACTTACACACATGCAGGCAATACGCTCATACAAATAAAATAAAAGCAATAAATTGGGGCTGGAGAGATGGCTCAGCGGTTAAGAGCACTGACTGCTCTTGCAGAGGACCCGGGTTCTATTCCCAGCATCACAGGGTGGCTATGTATACTGTCCTTAACTCCAGTTCCAGGGGAATCTGAAGCCCTCTTCTGACCTCCGCGGTATTGCACAACACAGGTGCACTCACATACATGCAGGCAATACACTCATACCATAAAATAAAAGTAATAAAATAAAAACAGTGAAATAAAATTTAAAAAAAAAAGTTTTTGGGAAGAACAGTCCAGGCAAAAGGAACAATAAAAGTCAAGGACCTGGAGTTAGAACCACTTGATACTGTTTCTATACAAAACAATAGAGGGTGAGGGTTCAGGGCATGGAAAGATAGGGAGGGGAGTAAATTATCATATGAGGCCTTAACATCTTGGACTGGATCTTTGGCTCAGCTCAGTGATAGAACACTAGCCTGGCATTTGTGAGGTTGAGTTCAATTTCTAGTATCAAAAAGAGGGATACATTTTAGATCTTGGAAGGAACCATGCACTCATCATATCTCATTTACGTTTTGAAGGTATCACTCTTACTGTATGATGAAACAGGCTATAGCAGGGCAAGAACAGACAGGAAGACCAGTTTGGTAGTTGTTACAATAGCATTCAACACCCAAAAGTATAGAAAGAACAAAGCAGGACTTCTTCCCTCTTCTCCCACAGTCTAACCAATAAATTTTCACTGATATTTTCTGAACAAAGTTAATATCCATTTTGGGGATAGTTTGGCTTTGGTTTGGTATGGTTTTTTGACATAGTATCTCATGTAGGCTAGGCTGGCCTCCAACTTTCTATGTAGCCAAGGATGACCTCGAAGTTCTGATCTTTCTGCATTTAAGTGCAAGGTTACAAAGGTTTATGTGATGCTAGGGATAGAACCTAGGGTTTTGTGCCTACTACAAAAGCACTCTATGAACTGAGCAACATCCTTGGCCCTTTCCTATTCATTTTGGCCAAAGAAAACTTGTTTTCATTTTTTTTTTCAGACAAGGTCCCATTTTGTAGTAGTCTTGGCTGACCTAGAACCCTGTAGATAGACCAGGCTGGCCTTGAATTCACAGGGCTCTACCTACCTCTGCCCCCACCTCCTGAGTGCTGGGAATAAAGTTTTGTGCCACCACACCCAGGTCTTTCCCACTTTTTTTAAAAATAGAAAAACAAACATCGGATTTTATAAACATTAAAAACTTTTCAGCCAGCAAAGATGGCTCAGCAAGTAAAAATGTTTGCCATGTATGCAAGCCTGACAATCTGAGTTAGATACGTAGAACCCACATTGGAAGGAGAGGACCAACTGAAAAGTGTCCCCTAACCCCCATATGTACACTCTCACACACTATTAATAATACATATTTAAAGGTTAAAAACTTTTCCTTGTCCAAAGTCTTCAGTAAAATTTGGAACCTCACCCATAAATATATGTTTAAAGCAGTTGCATTTAGAGCACATAAAGCCATGCGTGGGTTAGTCCCAGCACATGGGAGGCAGAGATAGATGGATCTCTGTGAGATTAAGGCCAACCTGGTCTATAACAAGTTTCATGCAGCATTACAGGGAGACCCTGTCTCAAAAAGACAAAACAAACAAAAAACAAACCCTTAAACATTAGAACGCAATAACTGATGTTTTAATGATACATATTTTTAAAGATTTATATGTTTATGTGTTTGCTAGCATGTATGTATGTGCACTGTGTGCATGCCTGGTACCCACTGAGGCCAGAAGAGGAGGTCAGATCCCCTAGAACTGGAGTTACAGATAGTTGTGCGCTACTATATGGATGCTAGTGACTGAATGTGGGTCCTCTGCAAGAACAGGAAGTAGTCTTGACCACTGAGCCATCTCTCCAGCCCCTTAATAACTTTTTTATTCTTGGGCAGTTTCATAACTTACACATTTTGGTCATATCCACGCACTACTACCTCCTCCCAACTGTCCCTAGTGCTCCCTATCTCACCTCCCTCCAATTTCATGTCCTTTTTTGTTGTTATTGCTGCCTATTTGCACTAATAACTGATTTTTCTTTGTTTGTTTTTTTTTTTTTTTTTTTGAGACAGGGTCTCCCAGTAGCCCCAGCTTGCCTGGAACTCACTGTGTAGACTAGCCTAGCCTTGAACTCACAGAGATCCCCCTGCCTCTGCCTCCCAAGTGCTGAGATTAAAGGCATGTGCCACTACACCCAGCTCATAACTGATTTTTTTTAAATAAAAGATTTGAATGGACATTTAACAAAATAAAGATACACGGTAGCAATTAAATAGAGAGAGAGAGATACTCAGAACCCTGGGTTTTCAGGGAACTCCAGACTAATGTCTCAGTGAGAAAGTGGAGCCCTTACACATTCTCAGCGGGGGGAGGAAAATGGTCCAGGTTCTTTATTAAGAAATTCCTATAATTCTACATTTATGAGATAAAATGTTTGGGGTTTTTTTGTTTTGGGGTTTCGTGGGGAAGAGGTCTTGCTCCATGGCCAAAGCTAGCCAGAATTCCTAGGCTCACATGGCCCTTTTGCCTCAGCCTCCCTGGAGCTAAGACTACAAGCATGAGCACTGCCCTGCACCTGGCCTCCTCCATTATTGTCTGGTCTGTTTGTGCATGGTCGGGGGGCAGGTACGCAGGGTGCCTGTGAAGGTCAGAGGACAACTTTTTGGAGTTGGTTCTCTACTTCCACCTTTTCGTGGATTGCATGTATCAAACTCAGGTCACCAATCTCAAGGAGCAAGTGCTTCACCACTTGCCAGCCCCTTCTCATTTTTATCAGAATCTTTTTGCAATATCTGTCATACTGTCCACCGCTGCTAATTATAGTCTTGTATTGTTTTATGACCAAGAGACTTTCTGGGAAGAGTTAATAGGCTATGTCATCATTGTACAAGCATCATTACATGTTTAACAGGCCTAGGTGGCATTAAATTAGTCACTCAGTGTGACTGCTTTGTGCAGTCATGACATACAACAAATATGAGGATGTGTGAGGCTGCTGTCAGTGAAACAGCAGATTGTTTTATAAGTAAACGTTTGTTGGGGGGGCAGGGTTTCTAGGCATTGAATCTAGAACCTTCTGCATACTGTGTATTCACTCTATCACTGAACTACACAACTAACCCTAAACTCTTTTTTCATTATTATAATTAGCAGTAGGATACTCTAAACAATGATAAAAAGTATAGTATAAGCTGAGTTTAGTGTTCATGCCAGCTCTGGGGGAGGGCAAAGCAGGAAGATTGCAAGTTCAAGGCCTGCCTCACCTACAGAGTGTTAAATCCAGCATAGGCAACCTAGTCTATGTCTCAAAAAGTAAAATGGGAGCTGGGGATGTAGCCTGCCTAGCATGTAGAATAGTATGGTTAATACATAAACTGTTAGCCTAGGTGTCTGTTATCAAACATTATGGCACGTGATTGCATATTGGCAATGTAGTGGACTTGTTCCCACAAATATCACCAGAAACACAGGAGTTATGCATCACATTATGCCAGCTATAATGTCATTAGGTGATAGGAATTTCTCAGCTCCATTATCTCATGTTGCTTATGCAGCCTGTAGTTGACTGACGCATCATCCTGACTGGACAGGACAGAATGATCTTTTCGCTGGAATTATGGTTTCTAATAGCACACCAAAGTACATTTAACTTCTTAGCAATTTTAAAATATAATCTCTAGGATAATAAAGTGATTTAAAAATTATGATACTTGGGGCCAGAGAGATGACTCAGCACTGAGTGCTCTTGTAGAGAACCCGGGTTCAGTTCCCAGTACCCACGTGGTGTCTAACAGTCATCCATAACTCCAGTTCCAGGGGATCCAACACCCTCCTCTGACCTCCACGGGCATTGCACATTGGTGCACTTACACATATGCAGGCAATATGCTCATACACAGAAAATAAAATACACTTTTTCTTTTTTTTTTTTTTTTTGGTCTTTCTGAGACGGTCTCCCTGTAGCTACAGCTGGCCTGAAACTCACAGAGATCCTCCTGCCTCTGCCTCCCTAGTGCTGGGATTAAAGGTGCAAAAAAAATTTTTTTTAATTATGATACTCTTCACACTGATTTGTGTAACATTAAAAAGGAAGCTGGACTTCTCATGGTGCTCATTAAAATGATAATTTTTCCTTTTTTGGTCAGAGACCCCCCTGAAAAGACAAGTGGATAGGGAAGAGGACCTTAATTACCTATCACTATTATTTGGATGATGTAATTCATCAGGATAGTTCAGCAACTGTCTATAGGGTAAATTAATTTTCTTACCTTATATGTAATTAGTAATCTAAGCTAGAATAGAGTCTAGTTGTTCAGGATTTTCCCTGAATTTTTGAGTATGAAACTAAACAAAAAGCAACATAAATATAAAAAAATGCATCACTTAACAGTTACTTTTTTATTTTTTTTTTGGTCTTTTTGAGACAGGGTCTCTCTGTAGCCCCAGCTGTCCTGGAACTCACTACATAGACCAGGCTGGCCTTGAACTCACAGAGATCCGCCTGCCTCTGCCTCCTGAGTGCTGGGATTAAAGGCGTGTGCCACCACGCCTGACAACAGTTACATTTTTAAAAGATTACTTTTATTTTATATGTATGTGTGTTATGTACATACAGGTACCTACAGAGGCCAGAAGAGGACATTGGCTCCCCTGGAACTGGAGTTACAGCCAGTTGTGAGTCACCTGATGTGGGTGCTGAGAACCGAACCTGGGTCCTCTGCAAGAGCAGCAAGTGCTCTTAACTGCTGAACCATCTCTCCATCCCCAAGTTACATTTTTTTTTAATTGCTATTTTTTTAAATTTTATGTGTACCAGTGTTTTGCCTGCATGTATGTCAGTGCACCCATGTATTCAGTGCCCAGTGAGGCCAAAAGGAGGGCATTAGATCCCCCTGGAACTGGCATTAGGATGGTTGTTAGCCACCATGTGGGTGCTGGGAACCAAGCCTGGGTTCTCTGCAAGAGCAACCAGTACTCTTAACTGTGGAGCCATCTCTCTAGCCCCCAACAGTTACATTTTAAAGGCAAAATAATATTAAATATTTAAACTTTCTGAGTTTTACAATGTCTTTCGACTCTTGTGGATTATGTGCTGCCATAGAATTTAATGGAAGTTGTGTTTCTCCTTCAGGTGCAGTTGGTGAATAACCGGTTTAAAGGAGTCAAGTATTTCCGCCTGAACACCTTGGCCTCTCTGGGTTATGTGGTTGTGGTGATAGACAACAGGGGATCCTGTCACCGAGGGCTTAAATTTGAAGGCGCCTTTAAATACAAAATGGTGTGTGAGCAAAAAACCTTTTTCTTTTCAAGATGTTTACATTTTCTTATACTTTATTTGATGTGAAATCCCAAAGACAAGTTGGGGGAGGAACAGAACAAGAGAGAAAATATGTTAGAGTTGAGGAGTGGGAAGAAAGCTACAGCTTGATGAACACTAGGCTAGCGCCTATCTACCTGAGTGTAACTTCCAGGAGCTAAAACACAGCTACCTTTGCCTAGAAATACCCTTTCCGGTTTGTACGCCCACCTCAGACAGAAGGAGGCCCATTTAGGTTTCTGAGTCCCATATACTACTAAGGAATAATTGAGATTTGTTCTGTCCTCTGTGAAGAGGGAAACCAATTGGTTAGTGCCTTCCTTGTGACAAGCCTCTTTCTCTCTGCAGGAAGCTTTAAATGCTACCTTTTAGAGATGCCCCATGTCCTTTCTGCTGCTTTGGGAAATGCTGACAGTCCGATGTTCCTTTTGCACAGTAAGGCAGTCACTGAGGTTGCCAGTGTGCTGGACATGCTGAGTAAGACATGGGATGTTCTCCCACAGCCAGTTCTTTGACCTTATGTTGTATTCTCATGTAAGTTTTTTGGGGGTTGTTTTGTTTTGGTTTTGGTTTTTGGTTTTGTCTCAGTGAAGCAAAACTGCTGTGCACTAGCAGGCCAAGTAACCTCAGGGTGGTCTGGTAGGAATGAAGACTTAACAGAACTGTGAAGAAATAGGATGTTCCTAGAAGTAGCATGGTGGGGAAGTAGGGAGGTAGGGCCTCGAGCCCTTTGCCTCACTGCACTAAGTACTAAAAAGAAGTAAAGTTCATCAGTCTCTTAAAGGGGCTAAGTTTTTGTCTTTGGGTACAGAAAGGCTTGTTACAAGGAAGATGCTGACCTCTTAGCAGACGACAGAACAAACGGAGTGGGAGACTCCCAATAGCTAGGGACAGTGGGTAGTGATAGAAAACAAGTTCATGGTGCAATTGAAACTAAACTCCAGAACATGGTAGCAACAGAAGCTGTAGACCCTTACCTGTAAATATAGTCTTGTTTTAAATTTCTTAAGGGAAAACAGAATATCAGTTGTTAATAAATTTTAATCTGGAAAAAAAAAACCTCTAAGACATTTTAATAAAAACATTTATCAGTTTTTAAGAGTATCCTCTAAGATTAGAATGCATCAGAACCAGTAAAATATTCTCCTTTTTCTTGACAGGGCCAAATAGAAATTGATGATCAAGTGGAAGGACTCCAGTACCTAGCATCTCAGTATGATTTCATTGACTTAGATCGTGTGGGCATCCATGGCTGGTCCTATGGAGGGTACCTCTCCCTGATGGCATTAATGCAGAGGTCAGACATCTTCAGGGTACGTGGCTTCCTACTGGATTTTGTAAAAGCGTAGTGTTTTCTATAAATTAAAGATACAAAAAAAATGGTGATGCACTCCTTTAATCCCAGTGCTTGCGAGGCAGAAGCAGGTGGATCTCTGCAAAATCAAAACCAGCCTGGTCTACATAGTGAGTCCAGGCCAGCTAGGACTACAGGGAGAACCTGTCTCAAAAAAAACAAAACAGATTACTTTCTAAAGGTTTACAGTGGTGGTGATACTATAGAATGTTGGGTTTGTGTGTTTGACAACCATGTGAAATATATCTCATGTGTTAACATAACTTCGTAAACACTTGTCAATTCAAGTACCAGTTATAGCTACTTATATATGCAGAGATTATGATAGTCATGATTAGTAAGACATACACATACTTACTAGATTATAACTACTTGTTTAACTGCTGGACTATAAGCTCTGAGAGCTCTTTGCCCTATGCACTAGTATATCAACAGCTAAGCACAATGCTTAGCACATAGTAATTCCTCAGTAGATCTGTATCCAGCACAAGGCCCTAGGTTTGTTTGATCTCCAGCACTGGAAAAAAAAAAAAGAATTATTGAATATTTACATACTTATAATTCTATAAATAAACTCCTAGAAAAATATACTAAAGAAAATGCATAGAGATGGTGGTTGTTAAGCAAATAGGAATGAGGGCCAGACATGGTGGTGCACACTTTTAATCCCAACACTCCAGAGGCAAAGGCAGGCAGATCTCTGTGAGTTCAAGGCCAGCTTGGTCTACATAGTGAATTCCTGCTTGGTCTACACAGTGAGTTCTGTATGTACTCTTATACATGTGGACATGCATATATACATACATACATACATACATACAAATAAATAAATAAATAAATAAATAAATAAATAGGATAAGGGGCTAGAGAGATACTTTAGCAGTTAAAAGCACTGGCTGCTCTTGCAGAGGACCCAGGTTCAGTTCCCAGCACCTACATGGTAGCTAACAACTGTCTGTAACTCTGATGCCTTCTTCTGATCTCCGTGGGCATTGCACCACACAGGTGCACTTACATACATGCAGATGATTCATTCATACACATAAAATAAAAATAATAAATTTAAAAAAAAAGAAAATGGGAATGAATGGGTGGGTAAGATGGCTCAGTATGTAAGCTTTCTGCCAAGCCTGGTGCCCTAAGCTGATTCCTGGGACCCATGTGGTGAGAGAAGAGAAGTGATGCCTGAAAAGTTGTCCTCTGTCTTCCACCACCATGTAGGTACTTGTGTACCTACGCATACATGTATACATTTTTTTTTTCTTTTTAAGAGTGAGTCTGGGGGGCTGGAGAGATGGCTCAACAGTTAAGAGCACTGACCACTGTTACAGAGGAGCCGGGTTTGATTCCCAGCACCCACATGGTGGCTAACAACTGTGCATAACTCCAGTTCCAGGGGAATCTGCCACCCTCTTCTGATCTCCATGACCATTGCAAGACACGGGTGCACTTACATACATGCAGGCAAACACTCATATACATGCAATAATAAATTTTTTTTTAAAAAGGGTCTGGCAAAATGGCTCAGAGAATAAAGGTACCTGCTGCCAAGCCTCATGAACTGTTTGATCCACCCACATAGTGGAGAGACAACTTACAGCAAGTCTTCTTCTGACCTCCATACACATGCCCACATATACAAACAAATAAATTGAACAAATAAGTATAAAAAAATTTAAAACAAGAATTAAGAGCAGTATTTTTTTACTATGTCAGTAACATGATTTTATTTTACAGTGGGAAATTGAGAAGGTTTTTTGTTTGAAGAATTTATTTTGAGATAAGGTCTTTGGTGTCCTAGGCTGGCTTCAAACTCACGTTGTAGATGATGACCTTGAACTTCTGATCCTCCTTCCTCTACCTCTAAGTGCTGGGATTACAGATGTGTACCACCATGCTGTTTATGAGAAGTAATTTTCAAAAATAAAAATAGCCAGGCATGGTAGCACACACATGTAATCCAGGACTTGGGAAGAGGCAGGATCTATTTGAGGCTAGCCTGGGCTACATAATGAGATAATACCATAATTTCCCCATGCTTGTAGCTGTCAAGGTAATTAGGGGAGAGTGTCCAACTATTCTGATAATAATAATTACAGAGTTCTACAACTCGTCAGATACAGAGAATAAGTGTCTGTGAGATGCCCAGCCCTAAATGACACATTTACAATGCAACCTCTACACATAAGGCTCAGGGAACATAGCAGAACAGAGGGCAGAAAGAATACTAATGCATCTCTCAACTCTTACAATTGAAGCTTCTTCATGTAACAGATGGTGATTAACCCAGAAAGCCACAACTAGCCAAACTGCAGAGAATAAGAGACTGCAGAGTTCTTGTCCCTGGGTAGGACACCTATATCAAACATCTGCTACCCAGGGTTCAGGGACCATTGTGGAAGAGGGGGCAGAAAAACTGTAAGAGCCAGGAGTGGTGGATGACCGCAGGGAAACAGTTTTCTATGTAGCTAGGAAGTTGCTCATATGCACAAGACCCATGCAGACTCAGATCAAGTCAAAAATCCAGCATAGAAGTTGGGAAATAAGAAGCCCCAACCTTAGCTAAGGAACTATTGGCAACTGATGACTACTGGGAGAGGGAGAGATGGTTTTGTTTAAGGAGTGACACTAGATAAGTTGACCAGGTTCCAGTGGATGGACTCTCACTGAGGGACATTTGGGGACACGAATATGGCTCAATAAGCCTTAACATATATGACATAATGCGTGAAATCCAGCGGGGGGTATGAAAGGGTGCAGATAAGGGGAGGAGGTCTAAATATAATCAATATGTAGTATATGAAATTTGCAAAAATTCAATTAATTTTTTTTTTAATTTTTTTGGGTCAGGGTCTCCTTGTAGCCCAAGCTGGCCTAGAACTCACTATGTAGACCAGGCTGGCCTTGAACTCAAAGAGATCTGTCTGCCTCTGCCTCCTGAGTGCTAGGATTAACGGCATGTGCCACCATACCTGGTTAATAGCACTGGCTGCTCTTCCAAAGGACCCAGGTTTGATTCCCAGCACCCACGTGGTGGCTAACAACCATCCATAGCTCCAGGTCCAGGGGATCTGACAACCTCTTCTGGCTTCCATGGGCTCTGCATAACACAGCTGTACTTACATACATGGAGGCAAAAACTCATACACATAAAATTTTAAAAAAGAAATAAATGCATCTTTAAAAAATACATTTGAGGCTGGGCATGGTGGCGCATGCCTGTAGTCCCAGCACTTGGGAGGCAAAGGCAGGTGGATCTCTCTGAGTTCAAGGCCAGCCTGGTTACATAGTGAGTTCCAGGACAGCTGGGGCTACAGGGAGACCCTGTCTCAAAAAGACAGAAAAAAAATTTTTTTTAATTTAAAATTAAAAAATACATCTGGGGCTGGAGAGATGGCTCAGTGGTTAAGAACACTGGCTGTTCTTGCAGGAGATCTGGTTCAAATCCAGAACCTAAATGACAGCTAACAACTGTCTGAAACTCCAGTTCTAGGGGATCCGATGGCCTCTTCTGTTCTCCACGGGCATTGCATGTCACAGGTGCACTTAGCTACATGCAGGCAATACATGCATACACATAAAATTTAAAAAGTTATATTTTTTTAAAAAATACATCTATAGCCGTGTGTGGTGGCACACGCCTGTAGTCCCAGCACTTGGGAGGCAGAGGCAGGTGGATCTCTGTGAATTCAAGGCCAGCCTGGCCCATAGTGAGTCTAAGGCAGGCCCGGTTCCCTAAGGGATGTTGGAAAAAAAAAAAAAAAAAAAAAAAAAAAAAAAAAAAAAAATCTATAAAAGACATCTATATTTTTTAAAAAGGTAAGCCAGGTATTATATGCACACCTTTAATCCCAGCATTCAGGAAACAGAGGCAGGTGGCCAGCCTGATCTACAATAGCTGGGGCTACAGGGAGATCCTTTCAAACAAGAAAAAAGGAAGGAAGGAAGGAAGGAAGGAAGGAAGGAAGGAAGGAAGGAAGGAAGGAAGGAATTAAATTAGGGGTGTAATGGCACATACCTTTAATTCCAGCATTCGAGACACAGAGGCAGGAAGATCTTTGAGGTCAGCCAGGTCTACATTGCCTGTTCAATCCAGCCAGGGCTGTATAGTGAGACCCTATCTCAAAAAAAGAAAGAAGGAGAGGGAGAAAGAGAAAGAGAAGAGAAAGGAAAGAGAGAGAAAAGAGTGGGAGGGGAAAGTAATTAGAATATCTAGATATAAAACTATATAGAAGACTTAAAGTGAAGCAAGTTTTTAGTACTTAAGTATAGTCTATTCAGTGTTTTAAAGTCTGGATTACTAACAGACACTAAAAGGGAAGAAAGAGAAGTGAGTAGGTGCTTTCTGTATATGGAGTTGACAGCTCTCACAGCTGTTTCCCAGTAAGAGGATGGGTTTACTCCAAGGTCCTCACACACTTGATTCAGGCTCTAATTTTTTTTTAATATTTTATTTATTTTTATTTTATGTGTATGACTGTATTGTCTGCATGTATATAAGTGCACTGCCCATGGAGGTCAGAAGAGGGTGTTGGATTCCCCTGGAACTGGAGTTAGGATGGTTGCTAGTCGCCATGTGGGTGCTGGGAATCGAACCTGGGTCCTCTGCAAGAGCAGTCAGTGCTCTTAACCACTGAACCATCTCTCCAGCCCTGGCTCTACTTTGATATAGGGACTCAATTTGTATTTCTGCCATCCCAGGCTAAGGGTTTGGTATGGGGTGTGCTTGTGAAACATGAAGCTTATTGACTCACAGAGTATCAAATTGTGACCTTGGCATCCTACTTCAGTTTCTGAGTCTCCCGAGACTGCTTGTGCCCAGTAGTGGGACTAAAGCCCAAGGATAATTTTAGCCCATACATTTGCAGTTGTAAATTGTCTTTGCTAGCAGTCTTTTCTGGAACACAGTTGACTGTCCATGTTGTCATATGCAGGTTGCTATTGCTGGGGCCCCAGTTACTCTGTGGATCTTCTATGATACAGGATACACGGAACGTTATATGGGTCACCCTGACCAGAATGAACAGGGCTATTACTTAGGATCTGTGGCCATGCAAGCAGAGAAGTTCCCCTCGGAGTAAGTTCAAGCTTTAAAATTAAGGTTGTCAATTTTGAATCCTGTTTTTAAAAGCTTTAATAATCATAATGAAAACTTTACTGAGAACTAAGACTGATATTTTATTAATACTTTATAAAATCCGAAAATGTTCTATTTTCTGGTACTTGGGATTGAACCCAAGGCATTGCTCATGGTAGACAAGTGTTCTACCCCTGAGCTGTATCCCCAGCCCTAAACTACTGGCCTGTTACTCGGTGCAAAATTAAAGGTGCTGTTCATGTATTAGGTTTGGGGGGAGGGTTGTTTAGTTTTTATTTTTTTATATAAATTATATTTGAAGCAGTTGCTTATACTGAAAGAAATTAAATACCTCTTTCAAAGTGAAAAAAATCTGTCAACTTAAATGTTTTAGCAAAAATTTTTCTATCATTGCTAGCATTGCTGTAATGTTTTAATGAGAAATTGAGCATGATTTTCTTTTTATTTTTATTACATGTGGCATCTGATTGCTGTGTTACAGCTTTAATATTGAAAATATTGAATCCTCATCCTAATAACACTGTAATATTAAGTGTGATTTGTTTAAAGGGCTTAAGTGTTTTTCTCTAATACTCTTCTATTTTACCTAATCCTCTAATATTTTTATTTATCCAGACCAAACCGTTTACTCCTCTTACATGGGTTCTTGGATGAAAATGTTCATTTTGCACACACCAGTATACTGCTGAGTTTTTTAGTGAGGGCTGGAAAGCCGTATGATTTACAGGTAGGTTGGTCTACACTTTTAAATTCCTTGTGGTAGTAAATAGCAAAAGATCGCTCCGGAATACAGCAAGATAAGGAGCAAGACCAAGTTTTCAGCTGTGTCTGCTTGAGAATAACATAACAGGCATAATTACTAGTCTCTAGTTGATAAAAACTAAAATTCTACTGAAGGCAGACTGAAAAATTGGCTGTTCTAATTTATTTCTCAATTGCTGTGACAAAATACTTTGACAAGTACCAACTTGGGGAGGAAAGGGTTTATTTTATATTATATCTCCTAGGTCACAGTTCATCAGGGAGCCCAAGGTAGGAACTCAGGGCAGGAGCCTGGAGGCAGGAGCTGAAGCAGAGGCCATGGAGAAATGCTGCTTACTGGCTTGCTCCTCTGGCCCCTGCTCAGCCTGCTTGCTTATACAACACAGGCCCACCTGCCCAGGGGTGGCACCACCCACAGTGGGCTGGGCCCTCCTATATCACACAACAATCAAGAAGATGCCCCACAGACATGGCCGCAGGCCGTTTCAATGGAGGCAATTCCCCAGTCAAGGCTCCCTCAACCCAGGTATGTCAAGTTGACACTAACGCTATCCAGCACACTGGCCTATCAGGTTCCATGGCTTGTGCACCTTGTCTACTTTCAGCCTGTAGGACTGTAGATGATAGCAGTCCATTCACTGTCCTCCTTTGCTTTCCTTTTTCCCTTTTGATGGATGAGGAAATATTACTTGATTTCATTGTTGTAAGAGGGTTTTAAGACCATATTACAGGACTAGAGAGATGGCTTGGTGGTTAAGAGCACTGACTGCTCTTGCAGAGGACTCAGGTTCAGTTCCCAGCATCCACATGGCAGCTACAACCAGTGTAACTCCAGTTCCAGAGGACCTGATGCCCTTTTCCTGCCTCTGTGGGCACAGGCACATACGTGATGCATGTACATATATGCAGGCAAAACGTTCGTACACAGAAGATAAAAAATAATAAATTTTTTAAAAACTCCAGAAAGCATTCAAGCACATGGGACCCAGAGGCAGGAGAATCAGGAGTTCAAGGCCATCGTTAGCTCACAATGAGGTCAGCCTGGTTTATATGAGACCCTGTGTCAAAAAGCAATAAATGGAAAAAAAAAAAAAAAAAAAAGCAGTAAGTGAATGAGTAAATGAATATCTCCAGAAAGATTTGGAAAGAGGCGCATTAATAAACCTTTGTTCTCGTCTTTGCTTTTTGTTAAGATCTACCCTCAGGAGAGACACAGCATAAGGGTTCCTGAGTCTGGAGAACATTATGAACTGCACCTGTTGCACTACCTTCAGGAAAACCTTGGATCACGTATTGCTGCTCTCAAAGTGATATAACTGACTTGCAGGACTCTGCTGAACACTGGCTATTTAACCAAATGGAAGTTTAGTCAATAGAGAACACAATTGATGATCAGACTTTAGTACCTACCATATAACATCTCCTTCTGAAAGTAAATTTGGTGCCATACAGAAGTCTGCAGTTTGTGGATAGTAATCCATACCTTAATCAGGCACACAGAACTGAGTGACATGTGTTCCCAAGGGAACCAACAGTACCACGGGAATTACTGAAAGAAACAAGACATTAGCACCACATATTCCTACTACTGTTTTCACTCTGAATAGCATGTAAGATTCTTGGACTTAGTGGATTTTGACAGTAGACTTCTGAGTTTGTGAAAATATGATAGGAATGATTGGTTCAATTCCAGAATCTCTGACTAGTTACAGATTTGCTAGCACTTAAGTGTAATTTGAATAGCTTATGCTTCATTGCTTGGGGTGTATCCAGCATGTTATGAACTAATCACTATTAAACCTATGACTTACCCAGTTAATGATTTTTTTCAAGGACAACTTAGTGTCCTCCTAAAGATACTTATTTGGGCTCTGATCAGTTTTTAGCTAATTTAAACAGTATATAGTATAATTTTTTTCTTTGATGATATGACAGAGTTAAGGTCTTACTTTTGCGTAAAGGCAAGCAACTGTATGTAGCATGGGTTTAATCATAAGTCTCATGATGTTAATAACTATAGGCATAAATTTTTTAATCAAATTACTAGAGAGCTTAAATTTTTTTTCAGGCAAGTTTTTCCCCCCTTTTAGGAACAGAAAATGTTCATATTCACTTATATTCAAAATATTTAATGGTGCCAGTTTCCACTTGGTATTCCCTTATTAAAATGTTCCAGAGTTTTTGGATGGTAAGGGAATTACAATGGAATGGGGGAAGCCCTGATTCAAGGAGTGATGGAGAAAGGGGGTGGTAAGGGTCTGCTCAAGAATTGAGCATAAACTCAGCTAAAAGACTCATGAAAAACCTGGGAAGAATGAAAGCTAGCCTGGTTGGGAAGTCTGCTTTTGCCAGCACAGCTATAGGCAGCATCTGGAGGAGGGAAAGTTCCTTAGAGTTATTTTTATAATTCCAATTTTTTTGTTAGTGTTCCTCCCAATTTTAAACAAATCTAAACTCTAACCTTCTTATTTGAACATAAAATGAAAAGGTTTCCAAACAGCTTCTTTGTCCTCAGCTAATCCCTGGCAAGCCATGGTTCACTCTTCAGTGTTGAAAACCTGTAAACAGTTTTGTTGCATGGCCATGGCATTTTCCTGGTTTAGCCTTCGAGCTTAACTATGAAGGGAACATAGAAGCTTTTAACTGCTGATTGGCATCTGCCCTTGTAGGGCCTTCTGGTATTAGACGGGTCCCGTTGGAGCCAGTGGCAGAGAGGGTGTCTGTGGGTTTGACCTTTTTTAATCTCAAGCTTCAGTGTTAGAAAATTACCAGTAATCTAAAATTGCATTCCAAGAAGACTCGCTCTGTTTCTTTCTGAGCACTGTAGTAGGTTTCTTCATTCTAGAGAGTGCCAGTCTGCTTTACTGTGGATGGTGACTGCATCAGAGGTGGGCATTGCAGGAGGCTCAGAAATGGGAGGGAGGGCTGGGATTTGCTGGTTTGTGTGTCTCTGCTGTACAGTAGATTCCATGATTTTCCTCGTTGTATATGTATCAACTTTCATGTTTATGAAATTTTCATGCCAAGATTTGTTTATATTTTAAGTTAAATTAAATTGATTTGGGTAACTGTTCTTCCCCCAACAAAGTATTTTCCCTCATGACTTAAGTACCTGACTGTTGAGGATGGTAATTGTGGACTAGATGGCCTCCAAGGATCTACCTTTATATGCTAAGTACAAGTGGCATAAAATAGCCTGTAGACAGCTGCTTGAAATCTCTCACCCCTAAAGTTTGTTTAATAAGACACCTCTTGTTTTACCCAAACAAACTTTAGAAAATCTCACATATCTTGGATTCTTCACCTTCTTCCTCCTGTTGCAAGGAATGCTCTTCTGACTACATCACTTAGATGCTGGTCCGCTCTAAAGGGAAGTAAGTGCCTGCCTAACTGCTTACAGAAAGATGGCATGATTGAGCTTGCTCTTCACCCTAGTATGGAACACATCACAAAACTAAAGCGACCAGAGAATCACTCTAAAATTGTCCCCTGACTATGGGTAGAAGCAAAAAAGTCAAGAGAACACAAAAGAACAGCATTTTAATGGAAACCAGAAAGCTCCGGGTTAAGCATCAAGACACAGGGTTTTAGGTTTAGTGAATCAGTGTACGTGAACAGCAGGCAGTTACTTGAGCTTGAAGAGCAGCAGAACTCTGAAGAATTGTCCAGAACGCAGAGTGGAAGAAATGAAGTCTTGAACCTTATGCTCAGAACTTAGAGCTCTATTGATTTGGGTGGAGCCAGGACCTTGTGTGTCTAATGAGCTTTCCAGGTGTTTAATCAAATCACTGCAGACTGCTTCAAGAAACTTCTGTGATTGGAGTTGGAGTAAGAAAAGAAGCGACTTTTACATTGGATGGATTAAGAACCCAAAACAATAGTCAAGAAAGCTACTCACCTGTCTTTAACTATTGACCTCTTAGGAACTTTATATGCCCTTGGTCTGGAATTCATTTTGGAATAAGGGTTTTTTCCTCCTTTGCCAGTCCTGACTCTTCCAAAGCCTCAAACAGGAAGATGCAGCCTCCATGCATGCCTGGCCTTTCAAACCAGGAACTTCAGAGAGAGATATGTGCTCTCTTTCACTACTAGTTTTACACCTTTCCGGAAGGTGTCTCCTGCCTTGTTAAAGCACTGTTCTCTCTTTGGTGGAATGGTTCCTAGAGGATCACTCATTGTAACAGAATTTTACATTTTCCAGCTGGAACAAATCCTTGACATCAGCCAACCAGTTAGTATCGGTCGGTACTAGGCTCCCTCCAATGACCTGCCTCATGGTAGTTATGATATTTAGGAAAGGCAGATTTTTAAAAAGTATTTATTAATATATTCCTACAAAACATTTTAAAGGAATATTTAAAATGGTTAATTTTTCCATTCTAAAGTAAATGCTAAGCATGCTTATTAATGAAGCAGTACTTCCAATAAGTAAATGACATTATGAAGTTAATTGAAATCATTATAGTAAAAGTGTCTCCCTGTTGTCATAGGAGATTGGGACATGGAGAGCTCACCTAAGCCTGGGAGCCTGTCCTACAGCTCTTTGACTTGTGACAAGAGCCACGATTGTGTCTAAACCATGGATTGTGAAAGTCCTCTTCCAGCAGATGGAAAGGGATTAGGAAGCTCCCTGACTCCCACCTTCCCAGCCTCCGCTGCACCTGTCTGCCCTCCAGCAGAAAATACACTTGTTAATGCAAGGTGCTCAGCTGTAGGTAATTGTTTCAAAAGCCCCTCACAGACACAGAAGTTGTGTTTGTATGTATATTTTTAAGTAACCCAAACACAAATTTATGTTGTTTTCAGCAAAATTGGAGTTGGGGTCTTTAATTTTAGCACATGAAGTGCCTGCTGTTTGAAGCACTGACTGAGCAATGACCTGCATGCCTCTCTCCAGTCAGCTCATGAGTTTTCTCATTTCCAGCTACATGGCTTTTAATCATGTGAAGTGAAACATGAGTTTTGTTGCATTTTATTACAGGTTCTTGGTTGCAATAAAGATGCTGCTGAAATTAACCAATTTCAGTGTTCTTATTTTTCCCTCTGCCCCAAGTGTACAGCCTTTGATTAGTCACAACTGTGGCGTTACATATACACAGAATAAGGTCATGTGCTTGCAGTAAGGGGAGTCCGTGAAGGATTATGTAGGAGTTTCAGTACAAACACCAGCCATCTGCACTCGGTGGGCGGCATGCAGAGTGTGTTTGGTGCTACAGATTAGCAGAGCCCTCTGAACAGCTGGGGGCTTCTGGGGCACACCACTGGAAGTTGATAGTGGTTTCTGCAGACTTGGAGTTTTGAGAGAGCTTAGTATAATGCTTTAACTTTTTTAAATTATATTTGTTTGCCTATGTGTGCACACATGTGCCACGACGTGTTTGGACGTCAGAAGATAACTTGCAGGCTACAATCCTCTCCTACCACTTGGGTTGCAAAGATCGAGCTTGGGTCACCAAGCCTGGCAAGGGCCTTTACCAGCTGAGCTATCTCCCTGTCCCAGTGTAATGGGTTCTTTGACAATTCTGAAGTTTTTTCCATCCTCTGTTTACTTGTGGGTCAAACCTGGGGCCTCTTGCATGCTAGGCAGTTTTTCCCACCACTGGGCTATGTCCCTGACAGTTCTGATTTTTCAAAGCAACTTTATCAATGTTCCTCTGCAGATGCATGTAAAACACATGAATCCAGCAGGGGCGATCCAATTGAAACTGCATTAGGGTCTTTTGTATACAAATTTGGAATAAGAGGGCTGGAAAGATGGCTCATCAGTTAAGAGCACTAGATATTCTTGCAGAAGACCAAGGTTTGAATCCCAGTACCCACATGGTGGCTACCAACTGTCCATAACACTCCAGTTCCAAGGGATCCAACGCTCTCTTCTGTCCTCAGGCACTGCATGACACGGGTGCACTTACATACATGCACACACATAAAAATAAAAAATTTTAACTGGGGGCTGGAGAGATGGCTCAGTGGTTAAGAACACTGATTGTTCTTGCAGAAGACCCGGGTTCTAATCCAGCACCCACATGGTAGCTAACAACTGTCCGTAACTCCAGTTCTAGGGGATCCGACGGCCTCTTCTGTCCTCTGTGGGTGTTGCACACCATGGGTGCACTTACCTACATGCAGGCATAACACTCATACACATAAAATAAAACTAATTTTTTTTAATTTCTTGAGGGGCTGGAGCAATGACTCAGTGGTTAAGAGCACTGACTGCTCTTGCAGAGGACCCAGGTTTGATTCCCAGCACCCACATGGCAGCTACAAACTGTCCTTAACTCCAGTTCCAGGGGAATCCAAAGCCCTCTTCTGACCTCCACAGCATTGCACAACATGGGTGCACTCACATACATGCAGGCAATACACGCATACACATAAAATTTTTTTAATTTCTTAATTGAAATAAAAGTGATCTTTAAGGTACTTGTATAGATCAGTGTTTCCCAAACTTTTAACTTTGTGACACACACAAAAAATACATTTGTGTCAACTGAGGCACACCAGAATAACCTGTTGGTACTGTAGCCAGAAGTCACTGGCCAGGCCCAGCCCATTGCTAAAGAGATTTTTTTTTAATTTTATTATTTTATGGGTGTGTATGGGTATGTGTGCATGTGGGGGCGTGGTGTCTGTGTGTGTGGAGGCAGAAGACAACTTCTGGGAATTTGTTCCCTGCTTTTACCATGTGGGTTCTGGGGGTTCAAACTCCAATCATTAGACTTGGCAGAAAGCACTTTTACCATCCAGGCCATCTCCCTGGCCCTGCTAAAGGGATTTCTATATGAGTATGCACATAATCCATTTGTGGCACAATAACGAAGTTTTATCAGCTGTCTTGTATTTAATTTAGCCTGTACTTACTGTTGATTGAAATCAGCTTGCCCCTGGGGTAGAGGTGCAGGTAACCTGTGGCTGCAGGGTCAGTGTTCTGAAGTCACCAGAGTAAAAGCTTGAGCTGGAAGCCTTCTCACTTCCCTCTTGTCCTAGTTTGTTCTTCATTACTGTGACAAAACACTCTGACCACTACCAACTTGGGGAGGAAAGGGTTTATCTTACATCTCCCGGGTCACAGTTCATCAGGGAGCCTAAGGTAGGAACTCAGGGCAGGAACCTGGAGTCAGGAGCTGGAGCACAGGCCATGGAGGAACACTGCTTTACTGGCTTGCTCCCCTGGTCCCTGCTCAGCCTGCTTTCTTGTGCAACACAGGCCCACCTGCCCAGGGGTGGCACCCACAGTGGGCTGGGCCCTCCCACATCACTCATCAAGAAGATGCCCCTCAGACATGGCCACAGGCCAGTCCAGTAGACGCAATTCCCCAATTGAGGCTCCCTCAACCCAGGTGTGTCAAGCTAACACTAAAGCTATCCAGCACACCTCTGGAGTTAAACCAGCCACATGTGAGAATCTTATAACCACAGTATGGCTTTATCTAGAGTTGGTATGATTTGAGAAGTTGCTAGGATTTAAGTGTTCATCAGCCTGACCACAGAACTGGAGTCCTGGCCTTGCCATTCAGAAAAAAATAAAACCTGAGTAAAAGAAATAGAGAGGCTTCAGTTCCAGGACAGGCACCAGGATCCCTGGGTTTGTCTTCTTTCTGAAGCATGCTTTTTTATTAACTCCTGGACTTGATTTCTTGAGATGGACATTTAGGGAAACAATCAGGATGGTTGACTCTAGCCAGTGCTCAATAGACACACACACACACCATTGGAGAAACACCTTTCAGAGCTGGCATAGTTTAATATTCTACTCAGGTGCCATTCTTTGCAGGAAAGTCCCCTGGCCCAGATGGTTCTGGAAACCACACGGCTCTTTGGTAAAATGAGCTCTCTTTGTTGACTTAGTTAACCAGCATGTTGCAATAAGTATCCCTACGCCCACATATGAGCTCTGTGGTGTGATGTTGGCCTTGCCAGTTAACTGGGTTTGTTTATGGCAGGATCTCACTGTGTAGTCCTGGCCTGGAATTCAATATGTAGACTAGGCTAGTCTCAAACCTGCCTCTGCCTCCTGAGTGCTGGGATTAAAGGTGTTGCACCACCATAGTGCAATTAACTACTCTGAATCATCTCTACAGTCCAGTCTGTTCTTATTCCTATCACCACTTCTGTCCAGTAAGTCTTGTCTCACGATACATAACTGCAGCTGCCCTCTCCCTAGCCAGAGTTTGGTGTGAAGAATTCCAAGCAGTCTCAAAGAAGCACTTAACTTTCATTCAGCAAATATTTAGCAGCAATCATATGGGAGCCTGTGTTACACCATGAGAAAACTGAAGAAGACCTGGTTTTTGTCCTCAGCAAGTCTCAGAACAAACTTCACCTCCCACCCCACAGATATTCCCTGTAGGACCCACCACTCTGTAAAGGCAAGCTAATTAACTCATTCAAACCATTCATTGGGTACTGTTCCAGTTCCCAAACTGATCCAAGTTCTGCCTCATATTCAAAACTATCAACAAACTAGGGGTAGTGGTATATGCCTATAATCTCAGCACTTGAGAGGCTGAGGTAAGAGGCTTGCTGCAAATTCAAGACCAGCCTGGGCTGCATATCAAGTACCAAGCCAGGGCTACATTGCAATACCCTGCCTCACAAAAACAAAGACTGTCATCACGGGGGGATATAGCACAACAGTAGAGTACTTGTCTAGCGTACACAAAGCCTAAATTCAATCTCCAACATCTCAAGAGAAAAAAAAACTTCTGAGCAGGATGTGATAGGATAGTACATACCTATAATTTCAATGCTGGGGAAACTGAGGGAGGAGGATCACAAGAGTCCACATTGGGCTATAATGCAACAGCAAGAAAGCAAATTTTGAAAGAATCAGCAGCGCCAGGCAGGCCTGGCTGGTGCATGCCTTTAATCCCAGTGTTTAGAAGGCAAAGGCAGACAGATCTCTATGAGTTAGAGGCCAGCCTGGTCTACATAGTGAATTCCAGGCCAGTTGGGACTACATAGTGAGACTTCATCTCAAAAAAAGAATCAGGCCAGGCATCACACACCTTTAATCCCAGCACTCCAGAGGCAGGCAGATCTCTGTAAATTCAAGGCCAGCTGGGGCTACAGGGAGACCCTAGCCACAAAAACAAAAACAAAATCAGCTAGGCATAGCAGTATGCACCTGTGGTCCCAGCTATTCAAGCAGCTGAGGCAGGAGGACCATATAAGCCCAGGAATCTTAGAGTAGCCTGGGCAATATAGCAAGACCCTATCTGGGAGGTGTGGTAGGAAGGACGTGTGTCACATGACCTGGCCTTACTTTCCCTTTCCTCAGCATGTGCTAGACTGCATACCTACATGCATCCTGAGGATGTCTTTCCATAGCATAGGTCTCCATGAGAGCCAGGTTCTCAGAACTGGTATTGCTACCCAAGAGAGGTGGAAAAGCAAAATGACACCAACATTAACTTTAGAGCCTGTCTTCACCATTGCTCCTTACTAGATTTCTGGATTTGACACATTTATACACTATTCTGACCCTCAGTGTTCCTAAGTGTGAAATGGGAATAATGGAACCTTCCTCAGCAGACAGTGGTTTAGGTTAGCAGCACCCAGAAAGCACCTGGTGTCTGACACTCCAAGAATTCAGTAAAGCTTATCTCAGATTTCACCTTTCATTTTATGCCATATTGTTCACTGCTGGTTCTTTCTCCAGTTAGATTACAGACAGAAAGCAGCATTCCTAGGCTGCCTTAATTCTCCCCATGCCTCCTGTGGAGTCAGATGTGTAGGAATCACGTACTAGATATATGAATACTCAAAATTTCCAAATAATAGATACTTGGGCCAATGAGATGGGTCCATGGGTAAAGGTGCTTGTCCCCCAGCCTGGAGACCTGAGTTTGATCCCTGGGACCCACATGGTAGGAGAGAGCTGACTCTCAAAGATTGTCCTTTGATCTCTACACAAATACTGTAGCCTGAGCATCTACACATATGCACACACGCACAAAATAACTATATAAGAGAGCTGAGGATGTAGCTCAGTTGTATAGCACATGGCCCCA